ATAGAGTTGAATTAAAAGAAGAAGGAGAAAAGAGAAGGAAGAGATAGTAAAAACAAACTGTATTTTTCAAAAAATAAGAATATGAAAAAAGAACAGAACAGAAAAAAAGAACAGAAAAGGAATAAATTGGATAAAGAGAAAAGAAAGAGAAGAAGAGGAACAAGGAGGGGGAGAAGGAAGGGGAGGAGAAGGAGAAGAAAGAGAAGGAGAATAATAAAGAGGAGAAAAAGAAGAAGTAGAAAACGAATAAAAGGGAGAAGAAGACGAAAGAAAAATAAGGAATAGAAGAGAGAAAATGAAAGAGAAAGCAGGGGACAATGGAGAAGAATGATTTTTTTTTAAGAGAAAGGAAAAATATTTTAAGACAAAGAAAAGAGGAAGAAGAATAAAGAAGACGAATGAGAAGAGGAACAACAGAAAAAGACTTATGAATTCCAAAAATAAACTTACTTTCCCTCCTTGAGGCACAATCTAGCCAAGTTCTCCATCTCTTGACCTTTCTTAGCATCAGGTGAAAGGTCATCATCTAGTTCATCACTCTTATCATGGCTAGACTCCTCACCAGGCTCTCCATCGAGTTGTTCACCATGCTGTTCATCACCATCGCCTTTGCTTGGCTTCCTCTCAGCTTTAGAGCCTGCGAGGATTAAACAGAATGCAGAAACTGGTAATATCTATTTGGAAGGCATAGAAGTGAAGAAAAAAAGGGAGGGGAAGGATGTTCGTGGAAATAATCTTAAGACTAAACTATAGGAGATATAAAAACATTGATAGGCTGACAATAGAGAGAGAGAGAGAGAGAGAGAGAGCAAGAGAGAGGGGATATGAAAGAACGAGAGAGAGATTATCAGATAGATAGAGATATAGAGTGAGAGTGAGAGGGAGAGAGAGAGAGAGAGAAAGAGATTGTTGAAACTAGCAAGAAGGATGCACAGAAAATGTGTATTTTTAGGTATAAAAAAAAAAGAAGAAAAAAAAAGAACTTCAATGACATGTGAAAACAGAAAATTAATCTACCCATGCTTAAACATCAATGATTTCAAATATATGAGTATTCTTTACTCAGGCATGAATATTAATGTATTATAGTTCATGTATTATCATTTTTATTTTTATTAAATGTTATTCTGAGAGCATGAGGGGAGAAGGGGGGGGGAGTACAATTTCTAGCCTTTTAAACAGTCATTCTCTGTTTATCAGTACTTACCTATGTCTTTCTGTACACTAACTATATCAATCAGAGCAGTTTCATAATACATCTTCTCTGCTTGGATGAAATAAACAGCTTTCTCATCTGAAAAATCACCATTAAGGAAAAAAAAACAGTTATCATGGAGTGAAAAAAATGCTCCTGTCTACCAAGTGTATGTCTTGTGCTGCACAAAGATTCAATCAGTTAAATTTGGCCATTACAAGTAGTGGGTTCTTGATGTAGACAAATGATCATGTACCTGTTAGAGCTCATTTTATGTATATTTTACTAAAAGAAAGAAAAAAGTCAGTCAGTCACTCAATAGTGTCTGACAGTGAAGTCTAGCAAGTAAACGGGTTTCCTTGCATAATTTGAATATTAGGACTCTGCTAACGTTTAAATTTCACAGATAGGACAAACATGACATATTCATAATTCCTGCAAAGTTCTACAGAATTTGATGTTGGCTGCAAAAGGGTCAAAGTATCTTTTAAAAGACAAAAACAGAAGAATTGTTACCAAGTGCACAATTTATGAATAATCATTATTCTTATTAAAGGATACATTCCTTGTGCTCAAAATAGATATCAGCCACGGCATGAAGACACCTTGGTAGCTCCTCAAAGGTCGACCCCTCGGACAACCCTGTGATGGCTCCAAGATAACACGCGAGGGCTCCCTCCAAATGACCTTCCTCTTGTCGTCTCGACCCCTCACGGTAGAGATTTGACCTCTCAGGTCGTGAGAGGTAATGAAGTTCACGATCCAGCAGGGCTTGGATGTTATCTGGATGAATTATGGGGAAAGAAATTTGGTTTTGTTTGTATTTTCTGTATAACAATAATTCATACATACAAGAATACAGTTTACAAATATAATAGAAATCAAGAATAAAAACGGCTGGAATTCTCTATTCGGAGACATCATTAAAATGGCTCTGTTCTTTCTAGAGGTCCAGAATCATGATTGCAATAAATTAGTATCTCTTTGGAAATTGCAATAAAAAAATCTATAGCAAGACAAAAGTGACTACATGACATGCAAAGCAGCATCTTTGCTGGTTTTCTGAAGTTGAAGTTTAATACAAAGAGAGATTAAAAATAATTATATAATATTGGCTGCCCTTTAGTGGTATATCAGTTATATTTGCAAGCTGAATATAATATATCTGATATACCACAAAAGAAAGTCAATATCATTATTATTATACATTAAAAATTTGAGCTACGTGCAGTAAAATTTAGAGGATTGAAAAGATCAATTTATCAATCAATGGCAATATTCCAATCCAATAGTGTGTCGAGAAGTCTTAAAGCAAAACTTGGAAAGTCAAAATGAAATATGATTCAACTTTTGAATATAAATTGGTGTCTAAAGATAAAGTTGAAAAATGTGGGTTCCCAATTGAAGTCCACATTAAAGGAAGCTGTACACAAAGACCACCTGCCCATACATGTACAGACTACTTCTCTTGTCTCGATCCCTTGCACAGTCTTTCTGTACAGCTTTTACAGGATTACTTCAAATCAAGATTATCATCCTCTATTTTCTTCATTACAGACCGTGTTCATTGTTAAAGTCAACATAGGGTCTATATAGCAGCTGACTGACACAAATAGACAGTAATCTTTTTTAGGATTAACTGTATTAAAGGTATTACAAAGTTTTGGTATGAGGTCATGAATTTGGTTTAAATTAACATATTGGAAGCATATTCCTACAGTATTCATTGATCGTTGTCGCGGTTGAAATCGAGTCTAAAGTTATGAAATTATAAATAATAAACTCTTTATGTCGTATAGCTCCCTCTCAAGGTCAAGATATTAATTTAGCTACGAAACAATGTTTAATGACTAAAATTGACCTATTACCTATTCCCGTTTGGAAATTATGTATCACAATTACATATTCTGAGATTAAAATGGTCGCAGCTACCATTGTACGGCCATATAGCATCATTTGAAATTTATCTAAATTTACCGGGAGCACCGGTAAATTTGTATATTCAATTTTTCTCGAAAACAGAAGTGTTTTAGGGGCTAATATTTGTAGTGCTTATAATACATCCACAGGGGCATCCAAATATATCGAAATTGTAAATATTCACTATCCACCCAATTTTCAAATTTACCAAAACTTTGTATTACCTTTAACATACCATTTTTCTCTGACTGAATCTCTGTTTTAGTCGCTTCTGTGGTCTGCGATACATCATGATCTGATCCATCCGCTCCTGCTGTAGATCTTGTCACGTTACCAGCCCCAGCATCAGGGCTTCGATCTGTATCCCGCTCCCCATCATCAGGGGCAGCAAACAGTCCCTTCTCTCCATCTGGAGTTCCTTCTTTCTGGAGATGCCTTTCATCCTCATCTACTCCCTCGCTATCACGTTTTTCTCCAACTCTACCATCTGAGCTCTTCTTGCTTGCAATCTGGACGTCTTCCTTCTCACCCTCATTTACTCCCTCGTTATCCTGTTTCTCTCCAACTCTACCATCTGAACTCTCCTCCTTTTCAATCCCGTCATCGCCTACATGTACAGGAGTTTCAGGGTCTTTCTTCTCACCCTGTGCATCTAAAGCTGGTTGTGAGTCAAGAATTCCATCTTTTGTGTCTGGTTCTATACACGACCTTTGACCTCCTGTATCCCCACCAGGTCCTGGATTGCCTGGTTGTTGGGAGGATGTGCTGAGGGGGGTGTGGTCTGTATCATCTTTGGGGTTCACAGGCTCTGACATCATGGATTCTGTCAATGAGGACCAATCAAAAGACTGGAAAAGTGGAAAACAGTTATTAATCAAACATTGTACCTGTGTGAATCTGAAATGATGTGCAGGTTTATAAGAAATTTCTGAAGTAAAGAAATAAACGATGGGGCACTGTAGTACACTGTACAGTATGTCCCTACAATTTTGCATGAAATATCTTCAGGAAAGCCATCTAAATTTGTCACAAATTAGCGACGAACACACCAAATTCAGCGCTGCAATATTATAACACACATAGTCTAGTCTAGGCTAGATCTAGATCTAGAATCTAGACCTACTAAAATTTTTGTAATGTACGTAAAATTCCACTTCATCCACCAAATAGGTCTACCTACATGTAGCTGTGTATCGCCGATATCGCAAACAATAAAATCACAATCTATGTCTACGGCAAATAGCAATATGATTATGGTATTATATCCCTCATGTATAGTTGTTTGCATTGCGATTGTTAGAGCACGAAAAAGGTATAGATCTAGACAAGTACTATCTACCGATCTCAGGTCGAGATAGTACTTATTGTAAAGTAATTTTTTGCTGCTACCCCACTTGCCCACCCTTGCCCATTGAATACGCATAGCAAAGTAGGTTACGCGAAATGTCAAAGTCAATGTCAATGTCAAATGAGCGCGCATCGACTGTATGCATGTTGCGCTTTGTAAAATCTAGCTGAAGCTAAACTGTCTGCAGAATCAGTTCTTATTATTATGTAAAATTCACTTTAAATAGACCTTATTGCCGATGTGGGATATAAAACAAATATTAACCTCCTTTACTCGGGCAATGGATACAAACTATCATCGCCTCGGTGATCTCGGGGCTACTATCTTCCCGAGCCGCAAGGCGAGGGAAGATGGTAGCCCCGAGATCACCGAGGCGATGATAGGTTGCACCATTACCCTCGTAGTCGATTAATATTTGCTTACTAGCCTAGTAGGGTATTCTGCAATTAAGCCGAATTTTCGGTCTACAGCCTACACTACAGGTCAGGTACAGGTGCACCAGCGATAGCCGATACGGCCACGGCCGGGCGGCGAATTTTTTTTCCGTACTCGAGAGAGCAAAAATCCCATGTGCGCATGCGCGTGGACTTATGATTTCTCTGCTACTTCCCATACGAAATGTACATGTATTCGCATGTACTGTGCACGATTCGCGTTCAACGAGTAAACGATGGCATAGTAGTCTTCAAACACAGACTCTGATTTGCCAGTTTGACAAATCAATATGCGTATGTGTCGCGATGTGCTTATTCAAGTCTGTGTAGTTGTATGATTCAGACCCAGTAGTGCATATGGAAATACATTGCAACTTGTATAGAATGGTATAGTAGTCTGCAAGCACAGACGCTAATCTGACAGTTTGACAACATACTAGTAGTGTGCTGAGAAGTACTTTATTCAAGTCGCCAACTTGTATAGAATGGTATAGTAGTCTGCAAGCACAGACGCTAATCTGACAGTTTGACAACATACTAGTAGTGTGCTGAGAAGTACTTTATTCAAGTCTGCGTAGATGTATGATTCAGACCCTACTGGTGCGTGCGTTAGAAATGCATCTCAATGTGTAGCGTCTGTGCTTGCAGACTACTATGCCACTCTGCAAGTTGAGATGCCTTTCCAATACACGCACCAGTAGGGTCTGAATCATAAAACTACACATATTTGAATATAAAGCACTACTCAAGACACTATGTTGTCAAACTGTCCGATTAGCGTCTGTGCTTGCAGACTACTATACCATGCTATTCAATTTGGGATGCATTTCTGTAAGCACTAAAATGTCTGAATCATACAACTACTCAGACTTGAATACTAGTACTATTGCTACGCACGATATATGCGTAATTGTTTTGTCAAACTGGCAAATCAGAGTCTGTGTTTGAAGACTACTATGCCATCGTTTACTCGTAGAACGCGAATCGTGCACAGTACATGCGAATACATGTACATTTCGTATGGGAAGTAGCAGAGAAATCACAAGTCCACGCGCATGCGCACATGGGGTATTTGCCCTCTCGAGTACGGAAAAAAAATTCGCGGCCGGGCGAGCGGGGCGGGCGAAGGTGTCATAGATCTACTCGATACTCGTCATAGTCATGCATAGCGAGCGCGAGCACACCAATAATTATTTGCTCTTAATCGAGGTTTACATTGACTGTTTAGTAAAAGCCTTCAAATTTCGATTGAATTGCTACTTAATAAACTATACAATTTGTGCGATAATCACCTCGATTGTCTTCTCTTAACAGTCTAAAACAAAAGCTCGAACAGTCGAATCACAAATCCGCCTCGGCAAAATCCTTGTTTTGGCGTCCGTGGATGTGACCTTTGACCTGTTAAGGTTAAGGTGCTTTCCCTTCGTGCGTGGTGTCTAATCCGAATCTTTGACTTTCATAACAGTTCTTCTCCATCCTGTTGTTCTCCAACGTTTATCATAACCTTATAATTATACTTTTAGATGTATGGATGATGGTGTTTTACACGTCTTACGTACTCGAATAAGGGTCTTCATGGTCTTGGAGATGAAGGCAGTTTACTTGAGCTACATGTAGCATGTAGCCTGTCGCGCTACACTCTCCGAGAGTTTGAGCGGATTGGAGGAAGGAAAGACGCCTATTCTGCTGGCGTACCAACACTAGCGCTAGCCCCTGCCTCTTTGCTCTGCAGGTCAATCAGCTCGATCAGTCGGTGGCTGTTGCAGTTGCAGTTGGCGCCACACACAGATAAACTTCATCATAAAGCAAGTATACTGTAGTTGTCACAAAACAATTGTTCACTTCTTTCGTTTTTTGTTGTTGGTGGGAGTTATAGTTATTAATTTTGTTGTGCTTCGTTTTGTGTAATTTTGTTTTCTTTTGTCTAGAATATTTTTTGTTTGTGTTTTTGTTTCCAAACGATAAAAACAGTGAGAACCTAGTCTGATATCATAAACAATCATGCCTGTAAACAATTATTACAACAATAAAGTGTTGAGAAATTCATAGGAACTTAATATTCCTCATATCATGATATGAATAGAAACATGATCAAGCTTTTTTTCCAAAAAAAGTATAAAAACGTCACTAAGTTTCAAATTTACTCACAATAAAACAAAATCATGAGATTTACTTTATTTACTTTTTGATTATTTATTCATATGATGTTGTTTTTGGGGGGCGGGCGGGTTTGGGTTGCTTTCGCAAAGCAATGTAAAATATATAAAATTTAGCTTAAATAAGTTTTATGTAAAAATAAAACATCAGATCAGGTCCAGATGCTGACAATCCAAAGAGCCTGACAAGTTATTTTTAAGGTTTAAGTTTTGGTAACAGGTCATGAATTTGGTTCAAATGAACATATTAGAAGCCTATGCGATTTTACAATATTCAATTTCAATGATCGTTTGTCTAAAGTCTAAAGTGATGAAATTGTAAATAATAATTTGTTTATGTTGTATACATGATGTGTAGCTCCCTCTCAAGACTGATATTTCTTTAGATCTTAAACAACTTTTCTTGACTACATTGACCGATTTGCTATTCCCATTTGAAAATTATATCAGAACTGCATATTGTGAGATGTTCCTGGTCGCAGCTACCATGGAATGGCTTTAGGCGCTAATTAAAATATTTGAAATTTACCTGGAGCGCCAGTAAATTTTGATTATTAAAGATAAACTTTAGTACTGGTAATGCGATTGCATTGTGAAAGAAAAGGTGTGGAAAGGATCAGAAACAGTTGATCATGTAGCATATATAAGCATTGGTGTGCACTGCAAGGTTCTGGAGTCATCAAAATCATAATAAATTTGACCGAGTATTGGTAAAGTAACAAGTACATACACAGAAAGCTATGTATGGGACAACACGCATGGTGTCGGGGTTGGTACTACCTTGATTCCTAGTCTTTCTATGCTCATTACTCAGCCAGTATACATTTTCTTCCAAAATTGTTTGGCACATGTCATTTATTTGTAATCTTGAACATTCAGTGTAGGTTTCGTTTGATTCTGTGAGAAATAATTTTCTTTTTTTTACCAGTACTCAACCTTCTCTTTAACTCTGCTCAAAAGCAGAAGTGTTTTAGGGGCTAAATTTTCTAGTTCTTATAATACATCCACAGGGGCATCTACATACATGTACATATCAAATTTTAAAGAATTACTATATATCCATCAAATTTTCAAAATTTCCCAAAACTTTGCATACATTAGTCTGTTTAAATCTGTTACCCCTACAGTACTAGTGGTAGATAGAATAGGAGTCATGCTAAAATCATATATTTTGAACATTTTGAAAGTCTCAATCATATCACCAGTGAAGGAAATTTCAGTCTGCATACATGTACAATATGTGTTTGTCTCTTCATAACCAAGTCCTTTCAATGAACGAACACAAATTAGTTACAATTTATGTGTATTTGATCAATGCATCTGTACATGTAATGTAAGGTATATCTTACCATCCTCTCTTACGAAGTTATGGAAGCCTAAAGTTAAATATCATACATGTAGCTATGTGGCCATTCAAGACAGGTATCGGGCCATTCCATGGTAACTCGCGTTACACTTAATGGGTACATTGACACGATAATGTGCCTATATCTTTAGAACTGCTAGGATCTACAAGATACTTTTTTCAAACATGGACAGGGTAGATATAGAACAACTAAATGAAACAAAAAAGAAAATTGAAGAACAAACATTTTTAGATTCTTGGATTATTGAATTTCGGTAACTCGCGTTACAAAAAAAGGACATGGTCAATTCTACGAGACCCTCTTTTCTCCTCCCACATAGACAATCTTGACAAAATCTTTCCTATTTTAATTTGATAGTAGGTTGTGACTTACTAGTATAAGATCACAATATTAAAGATAAGAAACAGTGGACTAGTAAAATGCAGGAAGCAAATATGTCGGTAACTCACGTTACGGTAACTCGCGTTACATTTTGTCCGGAGGCCATTTTCACCCCTTTGTAATAGATTAAATATCACAGGACCCCTTAGAATATGGAAATATATTCATCTTTTTCCATTTAGCGAAATTTTCAGGAAAAAAAATTACAAGAATCCTGTGTAATCTGCAATAAATTGTTTTTTTTTCAGCTACAGTCCCACATGTACGTTTTTGATGATAGTTTGAGATCTTAGGAAATCAACAAAAATGAAAAAAAAATTGTATTGAATTTGAAAGGCCCTAATGTTTTATGAACATCCATGGCATAAGGTTAGTGATAAATCAAAGAATTAACATAAGAGGTACATTTCTTTTTTTAATGTCATGTCCTTCTTCTCATGGAATGGCCCTAATTTGTTGCACTTGTTGCACTTTGTCACTCAATTGATCTTATCAGAAAAGCATGTATTACATCTCTTTTAACAAAAGAAATGAATACATTATTTATAAAAGCAACAACAGAGAAATTGCTATAAATTTGTTTACCGGTACTGTTAATGTATGTTGGTACTATACACAAGGCCGTCATACATTTCCTATTTAAAAAAAGTTAATTCCTGTCATTATCCAATTTTTATTTTAAAATCTTGTAGGAGTTTCCTCCAGTCTCTAGACATTTGATGAGTCATCAGTCAGCATGGAGTCTTGGCATCCCATAGCTCGTGTGTATCACCCACTAACAGCAGGTTCTATAGATGGGACTGATACCAGACCACATGACAGGGCTGTAGAGAGAGCAATCAAGGTAAATCTTCTATTCATGTCTGTTGTAGTAACTGCGTAAAAGCATTGGTTATTGCGCTTTGTGCTTTATAGAGACGTCTTTATATAAAATTGTGAAAGGATATATAGGGACAGGTTTAAGATCTGATAATGGAACATTTATATCTTCTTCTTTTTTTCTTAAACCTAAAATATATGCCACTCTGCACTGTGTGAAATGGGAATGTTTATAGGTTATGCTCATCTGTGACGCCAGATTGGAGACTCTTTCCTTCTGGTAGGGCTTCTGAGTGATTTCTTAGATTCCACTTTTTGTGCATAATAATTTAGTTTCAACATCATACCTCAAACAAAAGAAGGAGAAGTGTTTGAAAGTTAGTGAGAGCTGGGGAGAGCTGGACAGAGATAAAGAAAGAGCTAGAGAAAAATAGAGAGAGAGGGGGTCAGAGAGGAGGAAGAAGAGAGTGGGGAAAAGAATGATAATTGTTAATAAAATGTAAACAAAGAAAGAGAAAAAGTAAAATTGAGATGTGAAAGGATTAGAATAAGATCTGGAGGATTTCATGCATGTTGTAGTGCAACATTAGGAAGCTATCTTGATAACAAATATTCAAAAGAGCATATTCTGATATTAGGTTACATTTTGCATTTCATACATTTCTCATTTCAGGCCAGTTATGTACCGCCCTCTGTAGACAATGACCCGCACTTGACCCTCTTTGTGGCTAGGCTCAACCCTGAGACGACAGAGAAGACCCTACGCAAGGTAAATGCTACCCCCTTTGCGGACTACAAAAATCATGTAACTGGGCGGGGCTTATCGTGAGTGTGCACTGATGATTGGTAGCCTGCTATCATGTCACCTCTTCAAAAATTTGTCTCTATATTTTTATTTTTGTTAAGTCTGTTCACTCTTTTTGCTTCAACTGAATCCTATGATCTTTTATACAAATTCCTTTGTTTTGTACATTTTCTATAGGCTTACAGACTAAAGGTCATACAGGGGTCACCAATTTACTGCAAACAAACTTACTGTAATAATCATAATAACAACAATACCGGTAATAGTGGGTTCTTGTATAGTGCTCATGCCTGTCAGACTTGACACTCGATCCTGGGGGGTGTTTCACAAAGATCCTAAGTAGAACTTAACTCTAAGTTTGACTTAAACATTATGGAAAGCCATTAGCATCCTTGAAAATATTTGTAAAAGTTATTTTAAAAGTCATAAAATGTTGATTCAAATCATTCATATTTTCTATTAGGATGGGAGATTTCATATTCTTGATGTGGAATTTATAAAAAAGTCTAAAATACTTCAATTTTTGCTTTTTATTTGTTTATATTTTAAGGCTACTAATGGCTCTCCATAATGTTTGGGTCCAACTTAGAGATAAGTTCAACTTAGGATCTTTGTGAAACACTCCCCAGGAGCTCCATAATTATTACCCCAGCTTTAACATGGCTGTCATATGGTACTCTAGCACCTCGAGGAATTCATTCCTGCCCATTAACCTCACCTTGGTTGAGTGAGTCTATCGTAGATTAATGTCTTGCTAAAGGACAAATAAAGACCATGGTGAGTCAATGTTTAAAGGTTCATAGTAGTCGGTGCTCATGGGAAATCTAAAACCATTTAGGTGGTTACCTAACACAAAGTGTGATCAATCACCAAGGGTGGACTTCAATAATTTTTCTTCTTCGCTATAAGTACATGCCACTACCGGGTGTATTTTCGTACTGATGTAGGTGATGTGCAGGTGTATATGCAGTGTCTCAACAAAGGGCTACAAAGAACTGTGTGCAGCTAAAAAGACATCTGTAGCTTTAACGGAGGTCTTGCATAAAGAACTGGCCTCGAACCATACCGCCATAAGGGATTTTTCATCATCATAAATTACCCTCACCCTTGAGATATGAAGGCAAGCTCGGGTATTTACTAGTGGGACATTGGGTTTTTCGCTGCCTGAGGGGCCTGTACACACATTAATTGGTCATTAAACCAAATCTTGGCCCTGTTTGATGAAACTTGTTAATAATAACAAGTTACAATAACTTTTATAAGCTACTGAAATCGTGGTATTTGATTGTCTGAGAGCAAATTTGTCATAGAATTTTTAGCACTTGTAATTGAAAACAAGTTTTGATGAAAAAGGACCCTAGTGTTTACAAATTATGATGCAAATCATATAATACACATGGACAGTAACTACTGTGTGGCTTTAAAGCGGGATGGCACTACTTGTAGCTACTTGCCCCCTCTGTATAGCAAACATTGCCTAAGCGGTACCTGTTGATCCCCCATGATCCCCTTTTTCTTATGTTAATTGAGAGCTAATTTGATGAGGAAACCACCTGCCAGTGACCATGCATGGAGTTCTAATCCCTCCTGGCCAAACTAGTGCAGATAGGCTTTAATTCAGATATCCTGTTTATTATTTATCTTGATTGCAGACATTTTCAAAGTACGGCGACATCAAGCAAGTGAATCTCATCCGTGACGTCGTGACAGGCTTCTCCAAGCAGTACGCGTTCATTGAGTTTGAAGAGGAACGATCAGCAAGACGTGCGAGGGCAGAGGCAGATCAGAGCGTGATCGAGGAACACATCGTCTTTGTGGACTGGGAGTGTGAACACACGTTGGATGGTTGGATCCCCAGGAGGCTGGGTAGGTAGCGTGAACAAACTGTTATTCCAGAAACTTCATTTAAAGCTAAACTTTAGTACTGGTAATGCGATTGTATTGTGAAAGAAATGGTGTGGAAAGGATCAGAAACAGTTGATCATGCAGCATGTAAGTATTGGTGTGCACTGCAAGGTTCTGGAGTCATCAAAATCATAATAAATTTGACCTAGTCTTGCACTCACATAGAAAGCTATATATGGGACAACACACATGGTGTCAGGGCTAGTACTACCTTGATTTCCTTGTCTTTCTATGCTCATTACTCAGCCAGTATACATTTTCTTCCAAAATTGTATGGCACATGTCATTTATTTGTAATCTTGAACATTCAGTGTAAGTTTCGTTTGATTCTGTGAGAATTATTTTTTTTTTTTTACCAGTACTGGAGTTTATCTTTAAGTGAAACGTTTGTGATACATGTACGTGTTGTATGTCCTCTGTATTATCCACAGCGATTTTTTATGTCAGTGTTGTGTCTTGTGAAAAAACTGTAACTCCAGGAACTAAATTGATGTGAAACTTTGCAATGTGTGATATAAATATACCTGTGTGCCCTATTTATCCACAGTTGGTGTTGTGGCAGTTGTGTCTTTCATTATTTTCTAATTAATTGGTGCGTTAAAATTTCGCAATTCATAACCACTCACAAAAATCACTACTTATCTGTTCATTGATGAACGTTTGTGATTTTACAATATAATGTATATGCATTAAGCAATCTCTCTTTCTTTCTCTCTCTCTCTCCGTTTCTATGTTTTTCTATGTTTTTCTAACTCTCTGTCTGTCTCTCTCTCTCTTTGTATTTATCTCTCTCTCTCTCTCTCTATGTTCCTCTATCCCTCTTGTTATTTCTCTCTCTCTCTCCCTCTTTATCTCTCTTTCTCTGTGTCTCCTTCTCTGTCTCTTTCTGTATCTCGCTCTCTCTTTGGCTATATCTCTCTCCCCTCCCCCTCTCTCTTTCTCTCTCTCTCTCTCTCTCTCTCTCTCTCTTTCTATCTCCTTTCTATGTTTGCAGGTGGTGGCTTGGGAGGCAAGAAGGAATCCGGTCAGCTGAGATTCGGTGGCAGGGACCGTCCATTCAGGAAACCTATCGTAGTACAGGCAATTAGAGATAGAGGGATAGAAAGAGACAGAGATGGAGGGATAGAACGAGACAGAGATGGAGGGATAGACAGAAGCAGAGATAGAGGGGTGGACCGAGACAGAGATAGCGGAATTAGAGATAAAGATAGAGAAATAGAACGAGACAGAGGTAGGGAGAATAGAGATAGAGACAGGGAGAATAGAGACAGAGATAGAGGGATAGAAAGGGACAGAGATAGAGGGATAGACAGAGACAGAGATAGAGAAATAGAACGAGATAGAGGTAGGGAGAATAGAGATAGAGAGGATACAAATAGAGATAGAGGGATAGGCAAAGAAAAAGATACAGACACAGAAGATGGGGAAATAAAAGATAGATATAGAGAGTACAGCACGGATGGAGATAGAAGAACGGGTAGATATAGAGACAGAGAAAGAGACAATAGGGGAAGGGATAGAGGGAAGGAAGAAGGTAGGGAAAGATTAGGAGATCGGTATAGAGAAAAAGATAGAGATAGATACAGGGAGAGGGAGAGGGAGAGATATAAAGACAGTGATAGGGATAGAGACAGAAATTGGGATAGGAGGAAAGAGAGGGATAGAGAAAGGGAAGGAGAGAGGAAAGAAAGAAAGGGAAGCTATACGGAAAGAGAAGATGAGGAGGGAATAGATGAAGAAGTGTATGACGGGAGAGAAGTGGAACAATATATTGCAGATGTAAAAAGAGAACTATGTAGTTCAAGATGGGATAACTAGGTTTGTGATGTGGAGTAGAGGTAAAGCATTGGGTTGGTTAAAATAGAAAGCATTCCTAAGGGCTCATTGAGATACAACTTGGTAAACCACCGCAGAGAAAACCCTGCCAAAGTTCTTTTACGTTTAAATGTATGGCAACTGCCCACATTAAAGGTCCTATCACTATGAAAATAACGGACAAAGAAAGCGGACAAAATATACAGTTCCTCAGGTAGACAAAGGAACATCCCTTCACTACTATTATGTAAAAAGGTGAATATGCATGTACACCTGTTCTACACATTTTTACATAATAGCAGTGAAGGGATGTTCCTTTGTTTACATGAGGAACTGTATATTTTGTCCGCTTTCTTTTTCAGTCATATTCATAGTGTATGCGTATTCACATAGCATTGTGTTACAGAAAGGTGCAGCGTCTACCACCTCATATCTATAGGAGGCTTTAGATGGTTAATCTATTTCCAAAAGAGGGTCCTTTGTAATGCCTGAATGAAACAAGATATTATGTGTATTGTGTAATGTTTGAGTTATCCATCACAGATACATAATTTTTATTGTAATTTTATAATTGTTATTGTGAACATTTCACAAATAAAATTGTCTTTGGACTTGGACAAATGGTGTGAGCTCAAAACCCACATTTGAAACCGGTTCTGGTTCAGAGCTACAGCGCTAGCATCATAGTCTGAGCTATAAATAGTATGGTACACTCATAATAGACAAATTAGTCAGACACATATGTTGGCAGCATAGTTATTTATTGATTAACAAAATGCCCAGCATTGTATCAAATATTTGATAGATTTATTTATAATTGTCCTTTCTTTTCTGGCACGAAATTATGATTCATTTTACAGGTTACTTAATACAATTATCAAGAAAGTCATCTTTCAATAAATTAACTTCCAATAATGAACGATGAAAGAGCATAAAGTGATTTTTATTTTATAAGATTGATACATATGTCTGTTTTTTGTTTAATAAAACACAAGTATGGTATTAACCGCTTTTGTACCTTGTGTTATTTATTTATCAGTCAATGATTTTAACAACAACTAAAAAAAAGATAAAATGATTTTTAAGTTACATTACATTGCATAGCACACATCCATTGTTTTGTTAAGTCTTGAAAGCTAGGAGGGACCTGATCATTACACATTTATTTACATTGGAATACATACAGTACATGTTGTTACAGGTAATAGCGTGAGTCCAACATTTTACACACAAATTTAATTTCATATATTTACTCAAAGAACAAAAGGAGTAGTTTAATCTTAAATTGAGGGACATCATATATCATGAAATGTCTTTCATTTAATTTGAAATATATATCATTTATATGTACAGAAGACATCAACTTTGAAAGACTAGCTATAACAAGATCACACACCACACAAAACTATTAACTACAAGGTGTTTGTATTTTACAAGAAGTTGGAATAAATGGGTAACGGTTTTATTATCATGACCAGCATGAAAATATTAATATGGAGTAATGACTACAAAACTACAACAATATTCTAAATGTATTCATAGTTCAAACACTATTTAGGCAAGGATATTTCATTAAATATTGATGTCTATTCATCACATCCGTGAAAGCATGTAATGTCCTTTTTTTGGTTTTCGTACACCTGCATTTACAAGAACTATCACAAAGTATTCAGTTTTGTTTTCAACAAACTTCTTTTCATGCCTCTGCATTTTACTTCTAAGCAACCTTTAAACCAGGATGCTGTTTTCTGCTTCTCTCTCGCTCTTTCTCTCCCCTCCCCCTCTCTCTTTATCTCTCTCAAATGCTAAACACTGTATTAATAGAAGGTAAAGGTGGTCCATGTGCATTTTCACTGAGGGAGGTAGAAGCTCCTAATGCAGAAACGGTACTGTTATCCAAGTGCTCCCTCTGTGACAATCCATGCGTCGCTCCCCCATTCTCTGGATGGTAGATCCCAGGCTGTCCATAGGAATCTGAAGTCACACTTGAGCCATTTTGACTTGGGACTAGTCCATTGTTGCCCATAGGGTAGTCCTGATGGGTTGTTTCTATTCAGGGAACAAACAACATAATATACAAATTATAAAGAATATATCTTTGGACAAACAGTTTACATGTATCGTTGTTATTTTAAAAACAAAATATGCCAATTCCAGAAAACTTTAATTGAGCATTCCATTCTTATCTAGACTGTCTAGACAAAATTCCTAATTACTGATATTAAGCACTTTTTTGTTATAATGATTCCTTCTCGCTATATAATTATGAGATATGAAATATGAGATGATAGACCAATTTACTAACATATTCAATTATTGTATGGATGTTTCTTTCCTGGGGACCTAGTTACGAGCTAATTCCATTAATCTGTTCTCAAAGAATACAATACAATACCCCGAGTCCAGTCTACATATATTTCTTTTTGCTATGTCGGGCAAGCATAGGACAAGCTTGCGAGTTGTGAAGTAGAACCTCTATTTAAAAAGTATGCATAAGATTTGGATATGTTAGTAAACCGGTTTATTGATTGCATATGTCTCTGGAGAAGCAAAACCTAAAAGAAATAATGATGGCCACAGACTGAGAGGGCGCTGTTCATGGTTTACCTTGGAATGCCGAAGGGTTGATGAAGTTGTTCTGATGCTGATGTCCAGGGTTCTTTCCCTGCTCTCCACACGCCGCTTCCAGCATACGCAACGTGTCCGCTTCGTCGCTGAAGTGCTCGTGCGGATGACGGCCGCCATTTTGGCTGGCGTACTCGAAGGGTCGCATGTCCTGTGCGTAGCTGTCTGAATTAGGGTTCGTCTGATGTTCCAGACGGGTGCGATTGGCAAATGAGTTACTGGTGATGACTGAGACCCTTTCCGCTGCGACTGGTTTGTTTTGACTTGCTGTCTGATTCGGGTGGTAATAAGCTAAATGGTGGGAAATGAGAGAAGAACAAGTAAACTTAAATTAATTCTGCTTGATACTTTTATCAGTTAATTCATATTCTATAATATTATTTAAAACTTGCATTCATCTGTTACCAATTACATGTTCTTTTCATGTCGATGCACTTATAGTTGTCTTGTAAAAGTTGTTCAACATCTACAGTAGACAGCAAATGGCGTTAACGAATGATGTGTTTAACTACAATTACTTACATGTTGTATCGGAGTTTTTTTTTTATATATATATATATATACTAGGAGGATCATTTATATTCAAGCGTGTCCTATATTTGCTTTTCTTTAAAGACCGTCAATACTACTGGGCCAGAAGGGATTAGACCACACAACGAGGTCACTGACATGTGGCTATCTCATTAACTCAGCTCTCAACTAAAATAAGAAAAAGAGGATCACGGGGGACCAACAGGCACCGATTGGGGAAGTTTTCTATATAGAGGGAGCAAGTAGTTACAAGTAGGACAGTGGGGCTTTAAGTCAGATAGGTAGTTTCGATTTTCAAGAGCTATATGTGAAGAAACGTAATTGGTGGTTGTCCGATTTCCTCTTTTTTGTATAGAAGCAAGAGACTGCAAGAATACTACTGTGCGTCTACAGATCTTAGCGGAAATAGAGGTGCGGACGATTTATACCTTGGTTGTAGCTATTGGAGTAGGGGTAGGCGGAACCCGCTGCATCCTGCCTTTCCCCGCCCATTGCACAATTGCCATAGTAACGATCATCTCGGTGTGAGTAGGAATCTGTGTAGGCCACGCCCCCTGCATCTGCAGAATCGTGAGGGCGTGGGTAATAGGGTGACGTATTGTAGCCCTGAGGAAATACAGTTGGATGGTGGTAGTAGTTAGATGCTGGGTATGGGGCCATGTAGTTTTGGGTCCTCGCAGAAGAGAGATAGGGCTCCTGCCCCTGAATGTGATTAACATAGGGGAAACCAGCTTGCGGAGATGTGGACGGCATGAAAGGTTGGTTGTGGGAGGGGCCAGCATGAGGCGCCAGCGGTAGAGGCGTTTGGTTGATGACAGAGTTGCGCATGACGATAGGCGAGATGGGAGGAGTCAACATTGGGTTGGTACGTGACCCGAGGGAATGATGATGGGGTGTGGTTCCATAAGGCATGAGGTAGTCTCTTTCTCCAGGCGCTAGGGAGCTCATATGTCCGGGATAAAGCGTGTTGCGGTTATGGTCGATCACTTCTTCCCGTTTGCACTGTGACTGGTCCGCAAGGCCAGCTTGCTGTCTCTGTACTCCGTTGCGGTTAGCAAGGAAACAAGACCCAGCAGGATTGGATAGCGGTCTCTGAGTGTTACCTGTCGTAAGAAAGATAACCATAATATATCATTAATAAGACATTAACTGCCATGACTGTGTTCAGAAAAAAAACATCAGCTAATTGAACAAACTTAGAGAAGATGTTTGACTTAAACTGTTCACAATGCATACAACTTCATTAACAGTGTTAGAGATTGAAACAAAAAAGGACATTACATAAAAACGTTATATAGATACACGATATAGCATGTAGCCTACTCTCGATACTTGTGTGGAATGGGGTTGCCTAATGGTGAACAAAGGGCTCTCAGCCAATCAAATGCATCGATTTCTGTAGCTTTTAACACTCATCGCATCGTGTTACAAGTTCTATGAAACATGGCCCAGAACTTCAAGAGTGAAAAGATGCTGGAGCTTCCTTGTCTAACCGATTTATACTTTGTATGCCGTTTTTTGTATGTTATTCCATCCATCACCTTGAAGCAGCACTTAACTGGAAGAAGATCATTTCCATTATCCTTTCAATATACTACTGTTATTGTGTGCTTTGTATTGGAAATGTGCACCTTTGATTTTTTTTTTCGTTACTCTATTAGACATGTCTTTGTGTTTTATTTGTGTATGTTCTTAATCAGGACCATAAATGAAAACAGCTTTGCTGATGATGCTTTCATCTTATATAAATTATGTTGCGATAGATAAACTAATTAATTAAAAAGAGAGTGAAACAGAGAAAATATGATGTAGGGGGACAAAGTCGATGGATTATATTACTGGTACACAGAACGATATAAAAGTGAACATAAAACTTAGAGAACGAATAGGAATTCGAAAAAGAATGCAACAACGCTTGAGAGGAGGATGTGTACATATAAAGTTGAACATACCTGAGGCCTTCATGTGTTTCTCCAGGCGATTTTGAAGGTCGTTGTCCTTTTCTGTGTTGAATTGGCTTTCCACAGCCAGGAGAATGTACTCATCAAGCAGCATCCGAATCAGATGGAAGGACGCTATGACAAGACAAATAACGAAGATCGTGTGATAATTATTATACTTATAACAATAATGATAATGATTATAACGATAAATATGATGATAATGACAATAAGACATACTTTATACTTATAGTAATAATAATAAACATAAAACAATAATTTTAACAAAAATAATGATAATATTAGCAACATTATTTTATTTAATTCAAATAATTGTAACAATAATAATATATATCAATAATAATATTAGTGTATTCATCAAGCAGTATTCGAATTAGATGGAAGGAGGCTATGGCAAGACAAATCATATTGAAATAGAGGGCAACATCAACGATCTTGTAATAATAATTATACTTACAACAATAATGCTATAATAATAACGATAACTATTATGATAATAATACCGATAATAATACTTATAGTAATGATAATACTTTACACACAAAAATCTTAACGATAATAAAACAATGAAAAAACACATTGAAATGTTTACTCCCAATAATCATAAGAATCATAATAATGATAACAGTATTACTACTAGTAATAATGATATCAACAATAATGATGATAATACTAATAATGTAAATTGATAGTAATGTTAATAATATAGAGGGTTCGGGAGCAGAGGTTTCGGGGAGAAATAAGGAAATTTGAAATTAAGAATATTTTAAACATTCAGGCCAAAGGGCCATGTATAAGCTTACCAAAGCTCTGTGCATTATTAATTGTTAGTGAATGCATGACACGAGCTCCAAAGAAAGACCATTTCAGCAAGAAATCCTGAGCTCGCTTCTTGAAGGAACGCCCGTTCTGCTTACTCGGCTGTTACATGAAAGAAAAACAGAAAGAAATAGCCCAATAACTCGATTTAAAACTGGAAAAATTTATGTAATAATAACATCATAATAATGTTGGCTATTTTTATAACACAAATATCCACCATGCAAGATGTCCACCGCGTTCAGGTTCAGAGTGGCAAATTGGCGAAATGACATTAAGTGCGGCTGCGGGACTCGAATTGTAAACTACTTGATCGAAAGTCCAAAAATATATCCACTAGACCACGACACCTCTACATGATCTAATCTTTTCAACATAAAACATCACACGACTTTGATGAAATATTCTTTGGAATGTATTTTTCATAATTCTTATATTAAGTTTGGTGGTCTTAAATGAATAAATAAACAAGCACCATGTTCACAAGTATTCCAAGTAAACACTACAATGTTTGCTATATTAAAAAGATGTTTTTTTTTTTTTTCATTGAGGTTATTTTTATGAGAATGGTATGAAATTGATTGACCTTTGACATCATACCTTGATGACCTTTGACTCGACGACCTGGTCAAGCCATTCAGTAAAAGCCTCCACCGTGGCTTGTTTCTTCAGAAGTTCCTTAAAGTCATTCAGAACTACAACAAAAGAAAGACAGAGAATATAAATATACATATTTCAAAATTATTAGAGTAATCCGACTATAATTCTACTACTAATGATGATAATGACAATAATTATATAAGTACAAATTATTGTAACAATATTAATGATTATAACATAGTACTATGCCTTTCTTCGTTCTTGTATAATATCGCATATTAGTAATGTTGTGATAATAACGTATATATGCGGTTGCAAACCAAGGCTGTAGCGCCCAGATCACTCATGGAATCATTTCTGCCCTAGCTGTACCAACTTATACACCTTGGTCAAGTGTGGCAAATATCTAAACAAGGCTTTATGTGAATCTTACATTCAGTGTTCAGTTCCGAGTCAGTTTCATCTTGACTAACAGACAGCATTGCATGAGATCCAATAGAGCACAGATCAACCTTCTCAAGGTCTTCAATCATCTGGTCAACGAGCTGCTGGTCGAACAGAACAGGACGAGCCGTCTGGAGAAGGAAACAAATATTTCTTGAGTACTTCGAATATAATAATAATAATAATAATAATACAGCATTTGTATGCGCCTTCGATCTCGTAAACTATTGCGAGGCGCAGAAGGATAGAATTAAAATGAGTTACATAGAGAAATGAGAAGGAAAAAAAGGAAAAATGCATAGATGTACATTCAACATATAATTAACTAAAATGACATGCGAACATATATGACTTTAGATTCTTTTTAGATGTTTCTAGGGATTCTAGTGATCGGATCCTCAGTGGAAGAGGTTCCATGACACATGCTCCGCCGACGATTGCTCCGCCGACATTTACTCCGCAAAACGCGACAATTGCTCCGCGACATTTGCTCCGCGACATTTGCTCCGACGTCAAATGCTCCGCCGACAGGTGCTCCGCCGACAGTTGCTCCGCCGACAGTTGCTCCGCCGACAATTGCTCCGCCGACAGATGCTCCGCCGACAATTGCTCCTCCGACAATTGCTCCGCCGACAATTGCTCCGCCGTCAATTGCTCCGCAAAACGCGACAATTGCTCCGCCGACATTTTCTCCGCCGACATTTGCTCCGCCTGAAGCGACACTTGCTCCGCCGACATTTGCTCCGCCGACATTTGCTCCGCCGACATTTGCTCCGCCGTCAATTGCTCCGCCGACAATTGCTCCGCCTGAAGCGACAATTGCTCCGGTGACATATGCTCCGCCGACAATTGCTCCGACGACATTTGCTCCGCCGACAATTGCTCCGCCGACAATTGCTCCGTCGACAATTGCTCCGCCGACAATTGCTCCGCCTGAAGCGACAATTGCTCCGGTGACATTTGCTCCGCCGACAATTGCTCCGACGACATTTGCTCCGCATGAAGCGACACTTGCTCCGGTGACATTTGCTCCGACGACATTTGCTCCGCCCAAAAAGTGTCCCATTAAATACAAATGCTACTAGTACTACGACAAATGCTTCGCCGACAATATTTTTTTTTCACGGGTTGTTTTTGTTTCTTTCTTTTTTTCTTCATTTTTTGAATACATTTCATGACATTATGTAAATGAAATGAAATGAATGAATGTTGATAATGTGGGAGGAAAAAGCAGTTGACTAAAAGTCATTTCGAATATACTGAAATAACTTTCCATCTATCACTGTACGTCCCACATAATGTACACTAAACACTCATTACATGTCATGGGAAGTTGTTTTTTTTAAAGTAGAGCAGCAAGCCACATTCCCCAATACGCGCATACCTCCTAGTTAATTTCAAACAGCTCATCAATATGTAAGACCTGAAATTACCTCAATGAAAGAAGACTAATAACATGAGAGGAAAGAAAAGAGCAAAAAAGACAACCGTTTTTTGCTATTCCCCATAATGTTTGATTTAAAAAAATAAAAAATTAAATTATAGCTCCTTACGCAAGTTCTCCGGCGAAAGATAATTACTCCGCTCAAAATCTGTTTCATGTATTACTCATTAGATGATCCAAAGCTCAAGGCTATCTCTCTCTCTCTCTCTCTCTCTCTTTCTCTCTCTCCCATGCTCCTCCTTTTCCTGTTTACACCGTTTTCTTGTCTTCTTTGCTCTTTTCTTTCCTCTCATGCTATTAGTCTTCTTTCATTTCCATTACTTCTTCTCTGCTCCCCCTCTCGAGTTCTATTTCTCTCGTGAAATTGAAACGTAAAGTAATACAATCATGTAGTACATTCTTGTTTAGAATAATATTTTCAATAATATCCAGTCCATTTTCTAAAGGTTTCTTTCCTTTAGTTAAGTGTATGTAGCTTTAATATATATATGTTAGTGTGCAAAACACTCCGTTTCATTCGAGTACTTTGTTTTCACTAAATAATTTAAGGGACTCACGAAGCCACCGGAAGAAGAGCAATTGGCTTATCATGAAGAACTAACATCAAACTGCAACAAAATGATTTGTATAAATGTGAATAAGCAGAAAGGCTGCCATCTCATTTTCCCGTCTGAATGGGTTCTCTTCCTTAAGTATATAAGTGCCCTTATTTTCTAAACTTTTTTATTTTTTATTTGTGTGTTTATTAAATTTTCAATCATATAAAAATTACATATTTACAAGTCATTGGTAATAATTAGACAAACAAAAAAACCAATATGTATAAGAACAACTAACAATAATGTAAGGACAAGAAAGTTTTAAAAAAAAACATTATAGTAAAAAAAAAATACACTGTACACATATAAATCATAGTTTGAACTCCAGTGCATAAAGGGGAGTGAGGGGGCACAGGAATAAAAGTTAAATCAACATGAGTATCATAAGTCAAATCGCCATTTCTTAAAATGCGAAACAAGCTTGTTCCTTTTTTTCGCTGAGAAATATTCAATATCTTTTTGTTTCTTTATAAACTCTTAAAAAGATCAACACTTGGTAAATCCCCCTTACTTATTTTCTAAACTTCCATGATGACCTATTACATTGTATAATGCTTTACCTAGTAAGATGCATTGATCGAGGTAATTTCAGGTATTACATATTGATGAGCTACTTGAAATTAACTAGGAGGTATGCGCGTATTGGGGAATGTGGCTTGCTGCTCTACTTTTTTTTAAAACTTCCCACGACATGTAATGAGTGTTTAGTATACATTATATTGGACGTACAGTGATAGATGGAAAGTTATTTCAGTATATTCGAAATGACTTTTAGGTAACTCCTTTTTCCTCCCACTTCATCAACATTCATTCATTTCATTTCATCTACATTATTTCAAGAAATGCATTCAGAAAATGAAGAAGAAAAAAAGAAACGAAAAAAAATAGGTGTAAAGAAAATATTGTCGGCGAAGCATTTGTCGTAGTACTAGTAGCATTTGTAGTTTATGGGACACTTTTTGGGCGGAGCAAATGTCGTCGGAGCAAATGTCGGCGGAGCAATTGTCGCTTCAGGCGGAGCAATTGTCGGCGGAGCAATTGTCGGCGGAGCAAATGTCGGCGGAGCAATTGTCGCTTCAGGCGGAGCAAATGTCGGCGGAGCAATTGTCGCTTCAGGCGGAGCAATTGTCGGCGGAGCAATTGTCGGCGGAGCAAATGTCGGCGGAGCAAGTGTCGCTTCAGGCGGAGCAAATGTCGGCGGAGCAAATGTCGGCGGAGCAATTGTCGCGTTTTGCGGAGCAATTGACGGCGGAGCAATTGTCGGCGGAGCAATTGTCGGCGGAGCAATTGTCGGCGGAGCATCTGTCGGCGGAGCAATTGTCGGCGGAGCAACTGTCGGCGGAGCAACTGTCGGCGGAGCAACTGTCGGCGGAGCAAATGTCGGCGGAGCAATTGTCGCTTCAGGCGGAGCAATTGTCGGCGGAGCAATTGTCGGCGGAGCAAATGTCGGCGGAGCAAGTGTCGCTTCAGGCGGAGCAAATGTCGGCGGAGCAAATGTCGGCGGAGCAATTGTCGCGTTTTGCGGAGCAATTGACGGCGGAGCAATTGTCGGCGGAGCAATTGTCGGCGGAGCAATTGTCGGCGGAGCATCTGTCGGCGGAGCAATTGTCGGCGGAGCAACTGTCGGCGGAGCAACTGTCGGCGGAGCAACTGTCGGCGGAGCATTTGACGTCGGAGCAAATGTCGCGGAGCAAATGTCGCGGAGCAATTGTCGCGTTTTGCGGAGTAAATGTCGGCGGAGCAATCGTCGGCGGAGCATGTGTCGGGTTACCGTGGAAGAGCATTCCAAAGATATGGCGCTGCAGAAATATAACATACCATAGTTAATAGCTCTTGGTAGTGTGTTATGAGTTAGATTTTGTTTTTTAATGTCAATATTCCTATTATTATTATTGTGTACACGCTCAAAAAATTGTGATATTTTGTATATGTTGTATCGCTCAAATTTAATTTGATTCGTATGTTGCAGAAGAGCATAAATGCAATTCAATTCTAACAATTACTCCGGTTTTAGCGGAGCTACCCTGATAAGGCACTCAAGCATTGAATGAATTAAATTCTTCCTTCCAGGAACACATTCACCTGGATGGAGAGTGTAAAATGTCGATTAATGTCTTGCCAAAGGAAAATATGTTGTTTCGTGACATTATTGTATGTGATATTTACCTGAGCTAAGTGCAGGAACGAGGATTGTCTTTTAAGCGACTGGACAAAGCGTCTAGCCACGGTCATCTTGGATTCTTTGAGGGTGTCGGGAAGGTTCTCAAGTGATGACGTCAGCCATATCTCCCATTGCCGAGTAAAACGTCGGATATCCGTCAGTAAACTGTAGGCAATCAGAGAATGAAAATGAAATTTCTTAACTTGAAGCAGAAGAAGCTGAACCATTAATTGGAGCATGTGTCTTGGAAACAAACAAATGGTGCATTATTTTACATTCATTGCATTTGATTTAAGATCATGACTTAAACAAAATCCCCTTTCAATAGTAGCGGCACGTGAGGGAATTGCAGAGCATGGCCTTATTATGATAATTATTTTTTAGTAGCGCCACAAAAACTCAAAAAAAATACCACAGCGTTTATAATACACTCCCAATTTGAAAAGAAACATAAATAATTTATAGACTCGTAAAATACGTACACCACATTATATATTGATGAGGGAAGAATTCTTTTTTAAGGTATCGTTTGAAAATGGCAAGACATGTTTATTTCTCTGAAGGGAAATGGGATGTTCTACGTATCCGAAGCAGCCACTGTAAAACGTTTTTTCGGTAGATTATATAGAGAATAGATTTGGGAATAAGTACTTAATATTTGCCAGTCGATGAGCAGATCGTATTTATAATGGGATATAAACATTTATACCAAAGACTTCGAGCCAAATCATTCTATTAAACAATTCTAAAACATAGCTGCCAACAATTTCTATTATCAGGCCATGGCGCTATTGTTTTAAACCATAGATTCCTCTCTTTTTCAGAAATATTATGTGCGGAAAGTATACAAATTCCTAATTTTGCCTTGAGAGATTCCTAACTGTTGCTGTGAAAAGTTGACAGGTATGCATTGTACTCAACCATTACATCAAAAGACAAACCTTTCAGGCATTTCTTGCATGGTAGCTGGAATAAGGATATCGATCACTGTCTTGTAGAGTATCGAATCGCATATGCAAATGAGGTCAATCATGATGGGATTATCGAGCAAGGGTAGGAGATGATCGGGCATGCCTTGCCAGAAATGCAGCAGAAAGTTCTGAATCTGTTCAAGGTGGGTAATAAGACCAGAGAAAATGTTAGGGTGACATCGAAAATAGAATACGCATAATTATCTGAGACCTGAAACAAGCCGATATATACAATAAGAGGTCAGAGGTCATTCAATTTAGAAGATGAAGAAGATGGGGAACGATGAAACATAAATGACCATTTTGCAGATATATTGTGATTAGTTGAGTAAGAATACTATTTTCTTTAATTCAGCCCTATAGGAAAGGCTTGCTGCTACATGTAATTTAAATACGAAAATATAAATTATAGGATTTCCCAGGAATCGTAGAAAGGAAAATGGAATACGCAAGAAGTACTCAAGAAAATGGGGATAGGTGAAATGGGAGCACCGCGGTAAAGGCACTTGAATATTAGGGAGGTCCCGGATTCGACCCTTGCTCGGTGATTACACCCTCTACAAGGTATTTTGCTCACATTCGTCCCTCTGTACCCAGGTGTATTAAATGAGTACCTGGGAATGGCGGGGGTAATAATGACAATTGCAGGGTCTGCAGGAATATTATACTTATATACTTTGCTATACCCTCGATAAATAAGACTAAATTAGTACCACATGTAAACATGGACATACATTTATACACAGTAATAACCCCTTCTCCTCAAAGAAAAGCATTTAGTGAAGGTAAATAATGTAAACTCTTTTGTTTGATTACCTCATCGAAGCTTGAATTGATGATTGTGTCAAGTACACACTGAGAATGAGTCTTGTACATCACCAGAAGGGTATCGACCTAGAGAGTGAAACAAAGGAGAATTAGTAGACTGAAAAGGGTGAATATATTAAATTGTATAATTCTCACAACACCATTCATACTACATCGAGCCTCAAGTTTCAAGTTTCAAGTTTTGTTTCAATTCAAATCCATAAAAACACATGAAATACAAATGACCATTCGTTCTTGCCTCTTGGTCTCTCAAATTCAGGCCGTACGCAGGATTTTTTCAAGGAGGGGGGGGGGGGGGGGGGGGGGGGTTTAACATTTTTAAATCGGCCGAAAATTTCGCATCGACTCAGCCAGCCGCTGAATAAGCGGGGGGGGGGGGGGGGGGGGGGGGGGGGGGAGAGAGGGGAGGGGGGGGGGGGGGGGGGGGGGGGGGGGGGGGGTCAGAGGACACTTTTTTTTTTTTTTTGTCTCGAAATTTCAAAATTTTACATTTTGCTCCGTTGGGGGGGGGGTAAGGTCACCTTCTTTAGGTCAGCCATTGGAATTTTTTTTTTTTATTTATTTTTTTTATTTTTTATTGTTAAAAAAAACAAAAAAATAAAAAATAAAAAAAAAGGGGGGGGGGGGGGGGGTGGGGGGTTGGGTTTTTTTTTAGGCGGATTTGTACACATAAAATACCAAAGGGGGGGTTACCCCCCCAAACCCCCCCCCCCCCCCCCCCCCCCTGCGTACGCGCCTGCTCAAATTATTCATCTTTTTCCCGTTTATCAGTTTATTAAGTAATTTTTTTCCATTGAGCTTGTGGTAGTTGTTACAGACAACATTTTTTAATGAAACAACCCTGGTCACTCTCCTATGCATGCACATGTACACACCACACGCACACGCACATCTCTGTCTGTCACACGTTCTCGCCATAAATTTCCCTTTGCTCTCACTAATGTTCTCTCTCATTTTCCACCCTTCGCTCATCTTGCTCTCCGCGCTTATTCCATTCGATCACATTCACACCCACACGCACATCCACACATCCCCATCTACCTCTCTTTACCTCTTGTCTAATTTACTCCCTCTCCCTTTTCTCTATCTGTCTATCCCGTCTGACCTAATCTTATTTCCTGTTTTCTGTCGCGCTCTCCCTATTTTATCACCCATTACATTTTCCTACACAAGCGTTCTAACCCTGGCCTGGCATTAAGCAAAACATTCATCTACATTTTCCACTCTCCACACAGGTGTAAATTGGCGCCCAATATGCCAGAGCGCTCCATATTTTGGCTGCTGGCTATGACAGGGATACCTATGTTGGAGCGGACATGTGCGCTATATGAGAAAGTGCCATTATTGTAATTTAAGGAGATTTGAGTTGGTGTAGTAGTAGTTCACTTGGTGAGCTCTCTGTCTTCCTTCAAACTGGCTCAGGCAGACCCCGGTTCGAACCTGAGTCACGTCTTTCGGATGGTGACGTTAAAAGGTCGGTCCCCAGACGTATATATTCATATCTGGTTGATACACGTCTCTATAAAAACACTATTATACACACACACACACACACACACACAATGTCATTATATTTATTATTATTTGCCCTTCCCCTCCCTTTCTCCCTCAAGTTTGCTTCTCAGCCATTATCTTACCCTTTCCGCTGACAGAACAAAGGGTAGGGCCATCTGCTGAGCATCCGGGAACTCCGGCAGTAGTGTCCCTGTCTTCGATGATAAGGAATACTTCCGGGTGAAACCACCCTGTGGTAAATTAAAAAATATAGACAGTTAACAACCAAATTATTCTTACCCGTAATTTTTTAATTATGTAGAAAAATTGATTTGTCCCGATTTATGTTTCTTGAGAATGTGACATATTAAAGCTTGCATTTAAAAGTATTCAACAAATGAAGGCCCTAAATGATTATTCAACCTGTCCATATGTCATTCTTGTGTTATGAAAAGAAAAGAAAAACCATCAAATTTAAATGAGGTACGAGTTAATTGGTTGTTGACTGTAGGCTCACTTTCTAAAATGTATCGCTACTACTAGGGGTTGTATTAGGTAAAATATATTCACAACTGCCTTTGAAATATCATGACTCAGGGTCATATCCAATACCCTATTATGTATCCTGTAGACACTAGACATCATGTTCAGGTAACGTAACGCGTTATTGCAACTTTCACATATTTCAGAATGTGATGGGCATGGATGCTTAGATTTTTTTTTATAAATATGGACGCAAATTAAAAAGTTGTTTGCTATATCACAGGTTTCTACCTATCTCTCTGATCATAATATACTATAGGCCTACAATTGTCAAAAACAAGTAAATAAAGAGACAAACAAATCATAATTAAAACAAAAAGAAAAACGTAAGAAGAGTTAAAAGAACCCGTTAAGGAGTTTAAAAACCCTTGTCAGACACTTTCTTGTGTCTTTCAAGAAAAGTGTCATAACAGGCGTGGGTGTGAGTCGTAAGATATAACGGGAATCATAACAAAAAGGAGATGAAATGAACATCATTTAGTAAATTTATAACTCCGGTTTATTCCGCTCCGTCATATGCAAGTGCATAAACCAATCGAACAGAGTATGACGGATAGAGTTTTAATGAAACACGACATGTGGTCTATTGCAGAACGCTCCAGTCTTAAAAGCGACACATGCCGATGTTTCCGCGCTAGCTCGACGACGAAGGCCCGTGAAGAGAGCGGGAAAAAGGAAGAAGCAAAGGGGGTAATTTGGCGCCATTATTCACCGGTAAGAGGCATGTCAGATAGGAGTAATTTACAGCCTGGAATTTGTCCCTATGTTTGCATTGAGCAGATGAATATAGCAATAAAGCTGTACGCTTCCCCACTCTTTTAAGTGATCAGGACTGAGCACGTGTGACACTGTTAAATGTACAGGATAGCTTATTAGTATACTAACACTCTTTGGAAGCAATAGCTTTTATTGATGTGTTTTCAGGAAGGAAATAAGGTTTATATTAATGAAAGAAAAGAAGAGGCGGAAATATCAAAAGATCGAGAGGGTTACATGTGGTTAGCGTGAGTGATAGTAGAGAAAAGGGAGGAGGAGAGAAAGAGAGATAAGGAAGGAAAGGAAAATGTTCAGGAGGGGGGGGGGGAGTTAGGCACAGACAAAAATGAACTGACAGGTACATTTTAGAAATGAATTTGTGCGCACCAAACATCAACTGACCAACACATAACACAACAACAAAATAATAACATCAGTGTGTCGCAACGAAGGATAGGAAATGGGGACATTCAGTCAGGATCTTTAAATGTCGTACAAACGTTTGAATGCACCCGAGCCAAAACATGAGGATGACGACATTCATTGCAAATCTATTTTAGGCCTATGATGTTTCAGAAACCAGGTCGGAGATGATCCGCGCATAGGCAGTTAAAAGTCATTTGTATCGAACCCGGCATCGAGACCGATGCTAGAATCGTGTTAATGACAGTTAGCCTATGTAACCATTCCTTCTGTATGGTACGCAGGTGGAAGTATTTTTTTCAAGGTGGCAAATAAAAGGTATTCTCATTGAGTGAACCTCAATCACTTTGGCAGTGATTTTTTTCTAAAATGCACAAATTGGGACTTTCCCATGTTTAAAAGATCTGTGGATATTCGTGATAAAAACACTCAAGGGGAATCAAGATAAAACAGAAGATGACCAATACTACGAGTAAGAATCGCAATGAAACTAGTCGTTCATTCTAAAGATCCTAGGTATGATATTATGATTCGAAATAAATGTTTATATTGATGTCATCTTAGGTAAAAATAAACATTCTAATGTTGTAGTGTTATCGGGGGTTTTATTTCTTATTTGATCCCTTTCGGGAGAGTCATGCTACATTTTGTGATTCGGCTCAGTAACTTCTTATTCCGAACCCTTATAACATAAACCAGCTGCTTGTGTATAAATGGCAAACCTTCTGCGCACAATGTTTTCATGTTTGTTGCATTACCATACTGCGTGTGAAGCAAGGTGTTTTAAAAGAAAGAAAATAATCTTTAAAATTCTTAAACTGGCAACACGTTGAGAGATTCAGAATCGTTATTTTTCGATCAAAATTAGCAACTCTTTCAAGTTTTCGACAAAGTTACTATCCATGTTTATTACTTTCAGAGACATTTGCGTTTTATTAGAGCAATGTAGCATTAAAAGAAAAACATTATTGATGCCAATTTGCAGAATGATTTGTGATCGATTTAGCCCTTTAAAAATCCCTGTCCTGAAAAGGTCAGGCAAGATTAGGTGACTATAAATAGGAGGGAGAAAGGGGAAGCACCGATTAGAGTAATTTATGTACATTGAAGGACATTCTCTGATGGGGGTGAATGCTTTCTAAACTAAGCAACCGTTATTTCACGATGAAACCATAGCATGGAGCTGCGCCATGGGGCACAACGTTTGGTAACCCAGTTACCATCCTCGATCCCTTTCTCCCGGAGCGTTTGTCTTTCCTCATCACCATGCTCGCATGCCGGGAGAGGTGGCGGTCAGGTCATGTCGGTGGTTTCGGGGATACAATGCGAGGCTAGGCAGACACGCTAGCAACAACCCGTTGCGTAGTGGCCTGGTCTCCCAGTTTAAAAAGACCAGGGCATCGCTTCAAGAAACCATCATAAGTAGAAGTTCTGCGACATTCCATTGAAATGCGTGCTAAATTTGATACCCGCAGTTCAATGGTTTGGCGGCTAACTTGCAAGACAGTGTACTCATGACGCTTTCGTGACACGGGTGGCGTTAGAAGGCACTCGTTTTTTTCCGAAGGTTCATGATTCCCAAAGTTCTTTATTCGGAAACACAAAATTTCCATATCAGCCCGGGGATTCCTAACTACTAAAATGAAATAGGGTTCCAAAAATGCATAGATTTATTGTCTTATTTTGAAGATTCGTTTATCAGAAGGTTAATAATTCCGCAAATGATAACTTTATTCCAAAAGCTCGTCATTCAAAATGCTACGATGTCGAGATCAGGCGCGTAGCCAGAGTTTGATGTTTGGGGGGGCACATACATGTAATCGATCGAGGTCAAAAAAAGGGGTCTACAAAATTTCAACCGATCCTGGAAATTTTAGGGGGGGCACGTGCCCCCCCCCCCCGTGCCCCCCCCCCCCCCCCCCCCCGTGGCTACGCACCTGGTCGAGATTGGTTATCATTCTATCACCTCAATCATTTGGTTTGCATTGCTTGTCAAACTTCTTACTTATCTCACAAATTTAAAACCCTTGAGGTTCGATTTACTATCGTCTATGAAACCAAGAGGTGGATTCTGATCGGAATAAACATGAATTTCCGAGAAAATAACTATTGTTAGGGAATCATATTTATAATACTTCTTTGATTTTATCATCTACTTTTACCATCTGTCAAATCAAATCTTCAACATGGAGAACAATCTAATGAGCTGTCCAACTTCATTCATTTTAATTAAAAGCCCTTACATATTGTATTCGGTTGTTTTCGCAATCAAACTAAAAAGAGATTTAGATCAGAAGCAAAAATTTAGAAATCAGTTTATATGACATCGCATCCTTCACGGCTTCCAAGAAATAACGTGTAATAGAAAGTCGCCATAATTTTTCTGATATAATAAAACTGTCTCTTTGTGTCTTCTCCGTTTTCTTGATAAAAGAGGTACAAGTCTCAAGATATCGGGCTTAGTGCTTGGATACCAGTGAGTGGGGATGCGCGGGTCTGGTTACGTAAGTAACGTCGTTAATCTGTGGACCCGCAAAGTTAATATCTTAATTAGATAACCCACAGCGACGACCATTCGCACCGGGTTCGATGTGATGGTTTATTTCCATTTTGGTCTGATGTCTGGGTTTTTCCTTGTTAGATCCATCTACTATCCGACATTTTCATTGTAATTTTTCCTCTAAATAATAAAGATTAGAAGTACAATCTCTCTCTCTCTCTATCTCTCAAGTATTTTGTTGTTTTCGTTTGTGTTGGTGCATGTCAGTGCGTTGTGTCATTGAATGCAATAACACTTTACCATTATTATGACATATTTCATTCAGGATCTCCGCATCGATTGTTAACATAAGTGAAATTGTGTGTAAGGCTTTTGATATTCTTGTACAAAAATGTAATGTCCGGTTGTGTAATGTTGGATGGTTATGTTTGTATTGTATTGCATTGTATCAATTCAAACATTTAGTAAAAACCAAAAATATATAAACATTCATGAGTATAAGCAACGAGATAGGAAGACAAAACACCGTTAAAATAGTTAAGGAGGTAAATATAAATAAAAACATACACTCAAATCTGATAAACATTTTGCTTATTTTTTTTTCTTTCTCTCATGTTTGTATCGCTTTAAAATCTTTTCGTCATGTCTACGCTGCATTATGGAAGGAAATCGGTTAACTTCCACCAACACATGTGCGAATGAACAAAAGGGATCAGTAAAACAATTTAAGGCGACAGATCGTTGATATGGGCACTTTAAACTACTCGATGGCCTATCCGCTTTCCTTCGCTACTCAGGAAATACCTACGCTGGCCCGCTGTTATAGCCGCCTAAGCTCTCGGGGTCTTTGTTTGCTAGAGCCCCGATACACGAGCTCTTTAAGGGTTTCGGCAAACAATATGGTTCCCGCGGTTAATATATACAAGGATGAAGTACGGTGAACAAGCGAAACGTCATGATGACAATACTTTAGCTCTTCACTAAACCAATTTTTCTTCGAAAAAAGGGTCCACAGTGGGTTAGTGCACACGTTTTGACACTCTCTATTATAATGTTACATATTTCCTTTTCCTAACTTAATGCAATAAGATTTTGTGGTTCCTAAAAGCCTTTTTAGTAATGGGGAATTTGTGACGCCTAGGTGTTTAATGAAAATGAGTAAAGTTTTTAACTTTACAAGGAAAAGGATGGGAGCTAACATTAACATCAAACATAATTACAGACACAAACACGAACACATAATGTATAAATTTACGACTCAGTGATCTTACCTCGCTTTTTAATCTGGCCCCTGAAAATCTGTGTGGATTAAACCGAAGAAAAAAAAACGAATCGATTTAATACACAGGAATTATTTTGGCAAATTTTACAAAGATTTTCGTAATTATGACTTCGTTTTCCCTAAAATGCATTGAGAACCCACCGAGGATGTATCACAGCTTTGTTAAAGAAAATTAGTTATCCTGAAGATGATATTGATCATGAACTGTAAGGTTTAAAGCTGTTTTCAGTTCTTAGCTGTAATAGATGAGGATCATTGTTTTTCACCTATTTCCTTCATTCTGAACTCTGTCAATAAAGTGAAGTTTTGATATCAATGTGGTATTGTGACAATGTTAAAATGCTGTTTTTCTAGTTGAGGAATTACTACATAAACACGATAAAATATTCATCTACCATATTTTTTTGTTATTTTCTTCTTTTGCCAAAGAAAATTATTGACACAAAACATATACACTAACATGAAACTAACATGAGAGGTAATAGTTGAAATTATCACTAGTCACGTGACGCGCTAATGACCAATGACTGGTAGAGAATCTTACTATTACTCACACATTGAATGAACTACACAATACATACCTTGTAAGTCCCTTGGTAGAGTAGACTGTATGATAATAAGCACTGGATTCTTTGATACCAATACCGTAGTAGTGATATCTGCAAGAAAATGATCAGAAAATGCCCCAAAATAACTAAATAGGAACAAAATCTACATAAAAAGACATTAATAATTCCACTCTGCGACAGAAAAAGTTAATTGATTTTGTGATGCCCATAAAGTTGGAATATTTCTCTTTACTTCTTTTAATGAAAAGATTGTAATTATGATTGATTTTACATAGATCAAGTTTATATTTTCTTAGAACTGAGAAGATAAAAGCTCTATCCGTAACGAAGTACAAAGTTACAATAGTAGTTTTAGATTTGATTCGCAATTAGACATTTTTCAAGTAAATAAAATGCATTTCTACAGAGAGTGAATTCCTAAAGTGAATTATACAGACATATCTGCCCCCCCCCTCAAAAAAAAATATATATAGAAATATGAAGAAAAAATAATATAGAACGGCGTTTCTGCCTGAACCTACAATACATGTACATGGATTTTTTTTTTTAACTCTGAATACGATTTTACTATTTGACCAGTGATTTAATTTTACGAATTGATTTTCATGTTAATTTTAGACTAATAAAATTGCCAATAATTATATGTGTCATTCAAGTGATTAGTCAGTTAAGGACAGAACCACTATGTCTTTATCGGTAGACAAACCAGGGTCGTCTTCTTTATCAGGTATCTCTTTGAAGTGACCGTCTATCGCTATCATGGTAAATACGGTCCGGGGAATATAAATTGTGTCCCAAAGCAGAGGCAATTGGTGATGGATATCTATTTTCTCTATCGTCCTCCGTCCAAAGTTGTAATTTTAATTCATGGAGGACAAGACTTTTTGATTTGATAAGATTTATTTACCTATTTTTCCACTCAAATATATGAAATTGAAATAACATATAAAAAGTTACTAAACAACATTACAATATATAGGCATCATAGAACAAATGAATTATACAGGTTAGGTAACGAAGAGTGATAGGTATCTCCGAATTAACAAAATAAGTTTACAGAAGTCATTTAAATTTGAGAATAAGAAAAAAATATGTTCGACTTTGATAAACAATTGCTGAATTGGGCTTTCCTCCAATTGTTAGCTATGTACATGTATTTATATTTCATTTTTATATATTTTTGTGTGTAATATTTGTTATCTAATTTCGGAAAAAACAACAACAACAACTTCATTATACAATTGAAGTGAATTTTAGCCATCAAATTTGTTAGGCTCCCGACACTTTAGAGAGGCTTGAACTTTAAACATGATGCCAATCTCAGCTTGTGTTTTTTATCGAAATAAGTTGAATTAATAAGTGGACATGATTTCGGCAGTGACCAATATTTACAATGACATTAACATCCGAACCAAGGTTTAAAAACATCGTAAACTTTGATAACAATGGAATTTACGAAACAACATCTGAGAGAACAAGAAATCTCTTAATGCGTGACGCTCATTACCTTGTATGATGTGGTTTCTTGTATTTGTGTGCGAGTGCGTGTGTGTTGTGCGTGTGTGCATGTGGGTGTTTTGTTTGTATGTTTGTATTGTTTCGTTTTGTTTGTTGTGGTATTTGTTTTGTTTGTGCTGTTTTGTTACTACGTCGTTGCAATCATTTGTATTTGAAGAGATGATAATAAAAGTGTTTAATTCAATGGCTGACCCACGTGCAACCTCCCCCTTCCAATATTTGTTTTCAATCTCAGTAGATGGTCCAGAGATCGTGCCACCGGCCAAGAAAAGGAAGGGGAAAGGGAAGAAGAATCATGAGTTGATGGCCTATCTTCTTCTTCTTCTTCTTCTTCTTCTTCTTCTTTTTCTTCTTTTTCCTCCTTCTTCTTCTATTTCCACTTCATCTGTTATTAATATTAGTAACTATCATAGCTTTTCCTATTTCATCAGGAATTTCTCCCTTCCTCCCTCCCACTCCCTGTCCCCCTGTCTACACCCTTCCCTCCCTCTCCCTTTGACTCTTTCGTCTCTCTTCCTCCCTCCGCCCCCCCCCCTTCTCTCTCTCTCTCTCCCTCTCTCTTCTTCTAGATCTCTCCCTCTTTTCTCTCTTTGGATAGAATTATATTAAACTATCATTAGCGATATATTAATGTAGTGTCTTACTTTGAATGGCCTCTCGTTCCAAGTCGTCTTGTAGTCAGATTTGGGAATTTCTGTCGAATTGTCTGGGGGAAAAAAATAGAAATGGAATATAATCAAACGGAAACGTGATGAGTTATGAATGCGCTTTTGATAATAATGCAATCAAGCAATATTGATCTATCTTCTCTCTCTCTCTCTCTCTCTCTCTCTATTCTTCTGTTTTTTTCTCTCTCGCTATCTATATTTCCATTCTACCCCTCTCTTTCTCCCCCTATTCCCCCTCTCTCTCTATCTTTGTATATAACTTATTCGCTTCGTGTTCCGTTTGTCCGGGAAACTGATTTTAAAAATAATGTTATCTTCGCAATTTGTATCTCCAATGTTTTTGCTTAACAGAATGGGAAGATCCCTCGTTACGTTGGTTACAGAATACGTATTATTCACTGTTGTTCCAAACACATTGATAAAAGTGTAGTAGTTTGGAACGGTTCGCATGACGACAAAGTAAATTACATTCCACGATCAGTCAAGGTAAGACAACATGTCTGCATTCGTAGTCTTCAACGCAAACTCTTCGAAGTCGGCAAATCTTTATCGATACTCGAGTTAACTGTACTCAAACGAATGAATAAATATGCTTTGATTTACATGTATTTCTCCGTAGATTATGTAAAAACCGCGCAGGCAGGAATTTGTAAACGGTTGTGATTCAGCTTTTCTTTGTCAAAACGCATGTCAACACTGAAGGTGTTTTTTTAGCACATCGCTCAAAGAGTATTTCTCAATTAATATACATGTACTCGGAGAGAAAATAGATGTTGACAAGTTTTAACGCAATATGTGCGCTGCTCATTTTGCAATCATTAGTTAGTTATACGATCTCAACTCTCACATGGTGTTTAAAATACTGCGCCATTCGCTGACACAGTCCTACGTCACGCAAATCATGCCTCGTGTGCAACGGGTATGAGAGACATATTGGCGCTAACAAGTTACGTCAAAGAATAAAAGTTAGTCTCTTAGCAGATGAAATGCTGATGTCAATTTTGTTTCATTGTATGACAAATACATCTATAAAGCGGGTGATTGTATTGTGATTTTCCCAATCCTATTGCAAAGGTTTCCCGTGATAGACCTGTTTTTATCTATGTTTCAACGTTTTTTTAAATATGTAAATCATGTGCAATTCGGCATGACTACCGCGAATTCGATTCTTCTGAATAACCATCAATCAATCAAACAAAACAAAAAATCAAGCAAACACGAAAAATCAATAAATCAGTGTTTCTCCCCATAATCCATGTTTATCTACTATTAGCTATTATGATCCAAATTCACCTGCTGTGCGTAATGGTACCTCCATTGATGAATTCCACTTTTTATACATAAGCATGCTGTTGCTGTGCCTGACAAGCCTATGGCAAGCTTTATATTTTTCAAGAGAAGCTTTTGTTCAAGAAGCATGCATACAATTATCAAACGGGTCTATGTCCAGGGGGGGGGGGGGCTACAAAGATCCTAATTCGACCTAAACATTATGGAGAGCCATTTGTAGCCTTAAAATGAAATATATTCAAGAGCAAAAGTTTAAGTATTTTAGACTTTTCATATATCACATCAAGAACATGAAATGACCTTGATAATAGAAAATATGAATTATTTGAGTCAACATTTTATGTCTTTTAAAATATCTTGTACAAATTTGTTTCATTAATGCTAACGGCTTTCCATAACTGCTAAGTCCAACTTAGAGTTAAATTTAGGATCTTATTGGAAAAAACACCCTGGTCTACTTGTAAAGCACTGCTGGGTCTGAACGCAAGACTACGTGTAGTTTTTCATGACGCACAACACCACGCGAAAGGACACCATTATTACGTAACATCGGATATATACCTCGTCGATTTACTCCTAGGCCGTGAGATTTGTTTGTCCACCCCGCCATGAATAGATGATGGCGAGAAAACAGTGGACTTACAAGATCTAAACACTGATTAGTTCTCCTTATCAATGTCGGATACATGCAGACGCAAAGAGGATTTATCAATATCTAAATAGATGAATTACAAGTAAAACCACTGTAGTATAACGGTGAACCTACAAGGTATTTTATTATTGGACGAGGTTTGTTTAAGAATTTCTCAGACTTGTCGTCATTATTGGAAGGAATTCTTCCAATGCTCAAAGGATGACGCCGCTGTTTTGTCGCCAAAGGTAATCGCCCCAATCCTCACAACAAGAAAAACAAACAAACATCCGTAAACTAAGACAAAGCAAAGTAACTAAAATACAATTACATATGCATGTAGGATATGTGTGATACCCTGCGAGTGGATAGAATGTTGATTCTAACAATTGGATTCAATTTTGTATTATTGTTATGATTAACTTTCATCTATTAAAAACTGCTTTTGTTGATTAACGTAGGCCTACTCTGTTCACATTGATGTATATTTCGCATGTATTGTAACTTGTAGGTTAATTTGTAATATTTTGTCTGATATATATCATTGTTTGTCATTGTAATTTGTTAGCATAGCGCTCAAAGACTTCGGTTGAAAGCACTTCATAAGCACCGTTTTGTCATTATTATTATTATTATTATAGATTATCGTATTTTTTTTGGTGATTTTGTTTAACAAAATGATGACGTTGAACCTAATTAAATGATTGCTTGAGGGTAGACACGTGACTCCGCATTTCCAAATGTGTTACTAGTCATTAGAAAGTGCTACTGGCCGGTATTTAGCATTTACGAGATCCATGTATTCAGCTCTCTTATTCACATAGGCCTATACCAGTTTAAGATATTGCATTTTTTCTTCTTACAAAAGTTTCGCAATGATGTCATTTTACAATTTGAATTTAAATATTTAAATACCATAATGAGCATTTCACTCATGCGATCCCATCTCCCTTACCATGGCATCGATAATGATATCGTTTCACAAACACTACATTGAAAATGTTCACGAAGACAAACTTTTAATGAATATGTTTTTAAAAGTTCTACTTCTAATTATCCAGAAATAAGATAAAATGTAATCATTTTTTTTTGTTTAAAGACCGTCAATACTACTGGGACAGAAGGGATTAGACCACACAGCGAGGTCACTGACAGGTGGCTATCTCATTAACTCAGCTCTCAACTAACATAAGAAAAAGAGGATCATGGGGGACCAACAGGCACCGATTGGGGAAGTTTTCTATATAGAGGGAGCAAGCAGATACAAGTAGGACAGTGTGGCTTTAAAGGTACTATGTCCCTTTTGCAGGCCAAACAAATGAAAAGGTTAAATTTCAATGACATTTGAAAGATAATTCTAATTAAGAACTCCCCTTTAAAAAATGGGGCTTGAAATTGTCTTTGAGTGGGAAAATAACGACTATTAGTTGTCAAATCGACTTAGGAGCTATAGAGCCAATAAGTAATAGTCTTGATTTTCAGACCATTGTACCGTATGGTCGTACGTTTTATGCTGCGCAAAGATTCAATTAATTTAATTTTGGCCATTACAAGGAGTGGGTTTTTGATGTAGACAAATCCTTTACAGCTCATTTTATGTATGTTATTACCAAAGAAGAACAAAAAGCCAGTCAGTCACTCAATACTGACAATAGTGTCTGACAGTGAAGTCAAGCAAGTAAACGGGTTTCCTTACATAATTTGAATATTAGGACAATGCTAACGTTTACATTTCACAGATAGGACATACATGACATATTCATAATTCCTGCAAAGTTCTACAGAATTTGAGGTTGGCTGCAAAAGGGACATAGTATCTTTAAGTACAAGGAGAGTTGTCAAATGTAACGCAGTGGTGGATGCGAAGGGGTCGTAAAAACGCGGCTCTCTTTCTTCCTGATTTCCATGACAGAAGTATACATAAGGTTTTGCTTGTTCCTGTATTTTGAACCACTCCCACTTCATACCTTCAAGTTCAAGTTCAAGTTTTAATTGTTCCGTATTTTTCAAAAAATATAGACATACATATAAAATAACAAATTATACAAGTCATGTAGTGTAAATGGGCACGTCTCAATGATTCTCAATTCATATAATAGATTAAGGGAAAGGTGAGGAACCTGTATTGTTTATATCCTATAAAATACGGTTTGGAGTGCGTTGCTCTATTTTTCAGAAACTCAAATAGTATACAAATATACTGTTTTTCGTGGGCTCCTTTGTTTCTTGAGTAAACTCCAAGAGTGAATAATTATCATTGTCAGTATATTTAATTAGAACAAATTTAACCTTCCCTTTGCCGTGAGCGCTAATATGCACAGTCACTCGTTTTCCAAGCGTGCCGATCGGCACAAAACTCATCTAAGCATCAGATCACTCATAAACTGTAGCTGTACATGTCAACCTTTTGAACACCTGTTATTTTTACACTGGAGACATGAAAATAATCTTGAATCCCTTAGTGTAACTATCCTACAGGAAACGCAGTTTGGCACAGGGACATCATTCGCATGACACATAAAGTTAACATGAGATTGTTACCTTGCCAAACGTAGCAGCGCATGCTGGGTCAAGAGTCTCCTTGCGGCAAAAGTCGAGGTAGTGTGAATAAAGAATACACCGTGGCAAGCATACTCCCTCACATATACAGTAATTCTCTTCCAACCTAAGGGGATGAAGTGAGTGAGGGATGGTGAGAGAGAGAGAGAGACAGAGAGAGAGAGAGAGAGATGTGGGGGATTGAGAGAGAGAGAAATAGGAATACCGTCAACAGTGCGAATAACATTTGTAAAGAATTATAGATGAGAACATATTTTTATTAATCAATAAATATATAATATTATTCTCAAACGACCTCAAAATAGTAGTTTAGAACGATGTAACGCCCTCCCCCACCCCTCACCCCTCTCGCAGTAACCCAATCCTTACTAAACGTATACGAATCAAAGTAAGTTGTAATATGACTCAATCTGACGCCAGATAACATTACAATAACGCACGATGTTCATTATAGAGCTTTCATTGAAATAGTTTTTAAATTTCAGCTGTGATAGTTTTTTTTATAGGATACATACACTGTTGCCCAAACAAAGTTGGAATACTTTTTTTTTCCTTACCTCTTTTCATGAAATGATTGTGACAAAATGGTTAATTCTTGATAGATAATGTTTCTGTCTTCTCGGAACTTTATTGGTCAATCTCTATGAATCTTTAAACTACTAAAATTCTGAAAAAAATGTCAATTCTACTCTTAAGAAAAATGATATTCTCACAATCATGTCATGAAAAAGGTGAATAATTATATCAACTCTTTCGGCAACAATGTAGACTAGCATAATACTGCTTATAAACTCACCATTGCAAAGTTAGTGCAGTTTGTTTCTTCTTGTCTTTGACCATTTGGGCTACGGTCTTTTTGCCAGTCGTTTTCTTGGTTTCATCTTTCTTAGTCTTGTGCATTTCATCTTCGTTTTGGTTGTCTACGTCTGTCTTCCTAATTCCATCGTCGACGGACCCGTTTTCGAGTTCTATTTCGTGCTCATCCTCCGAGGAAGACTCTGCCGTCTCACCTTCTGTGTAAAGATATAAGTTTCAAAGGGCAAAGAGTTTAGTCAGATCCAACTGTTTACTTACATATCCGAATTATATGTATACTGTTTGAAGAAAGGTTGTTCTTGTCTATCCGAAAGCTTGCCCGATGCATACCCGACCTAGCAACAGACAATGTATACTGAATGGATTGCGAGTATTGTAGTTTATTCAATAATGACAGGTGAATGGAATACCTAGTCACTAGGTCCCCAGGAAAGAAAAACATCCATCAATTCGTATGTTAGTAAACCGGTCTAATGATCACAATTATTGGCGAGAGAGAGAGAGAGAGAGAGAGAGAAAGAGAGAGAGAGAGAGATAGAGAGAAAGGGGGAGAAAGAGAGAAGGGAAATATAGACAGAAATAGTATTGAAATTTATGGCAAATATAGTAAGGAGGATGGAAAAAGAGATGAAGAGTGAGAGAGATGGAGAGGGAGGATGGAAAGGGAAAGTGTGCGCGCGCGTGTGCGTGTTAGAGATAAAGAGAGAGAGAGCGCGGGACTTTAATGTACAGGTGTAGTGGTCGACTGGATACGTCACCGGACTGTGGATCACAAGATCCGCGGTTCGAGTCCCGCCGACATTGATCTACATTTGCTACACTCAACCCAGGTGATGTAAATGGGTACCTTGCAGGAAATCATTCCTTGAAATGCTAGAGTGCCGTAATGGCAGCCATGCAAAAGCCAGGGTAATAATCGGGAGCGCCAGGAGTGTCAAGTCTGACAGATATAAGTGCTATTAATACAAGAACCTATATTATTATAATATAGAACAAAATAAGATCTGAAAAAGACTTTCTTATCGAAAAAAAAAAGTATTAAAAAAAACAAGATGAAAGTGTGCGAGGGGACCTAGGAAGATGCGGATAGGAAAGAGGGGAGAGGGAAGGGAAAAGATCTGAAGTAGAAATGATGAAGAAAAAGAAGAATTTAAAAAAAGAGAGAGCGAGAAAGAAATAATAAAAAGAGAAAGAAGGAGAGATAGAAAAAAGAAAGATAGAGAGAGAGAGAAAGAGAAAGATGGGTGGGGCTGACATAGAGAGACAAGGAGGGGTAATTTTGTTGGTTTAAGGAGCTAAACGGGCTATAAAAGGGTCAAATATCACAATACCGACCTCGTGAAGATGTTTTCAAACTTTCTGGATGGTGACTCATCCTAGAATCTACAGTGAAATGTTGATAAAGCCCATTAGGCTTAGGTAACATGTTAGATAGCCTATACTGATCACACTCATTAAGCTAGAACAAAGACAGATGAACGCCTCGTAATTAAATCGGGAACACTAGCATATGGCCATGGGCTTCGGTGATCAGCGCTCACGACTTTAATTCTAACTCAAACATGCAAGGGTTGGCTGAGAATCAACTTTTTGTCCATTCTTAATTAAAATAATAATAATAATAATAATAAGAAGAAAAATGATAATAATAATAACATCGCTTGTTTAGAAGCCCTAAAGACAACAAAGTACCATAAGCGCTTTCAAAATTAGAGAATGTGAAGGAAAACCTAAAAGTACTCGTTCCTAGCCTCATAAAATAAGTATATCTCATTATGCCGAGAGAAAGATTATGTTCAAAGGGGATTTTTGAAAGAGGCAAGACAAGTTAATTCTCTCATTTAAAGTGGAATAATTCTTTCACAATTTCGAGGCCTCCACTGTAAAATGAATTGGTTACGTTATAGTTTGGATTTGGGAATTAATTAATTTTTGTTTTAAATATATTTACCAACAGCAATACAGTAAAAGGATGTTTACATATACAAGAACATAAACTATTGGTTGGTAAAAGGGGCCCAATAAACGCACGTGTGCTAGTCGAACGTAACACATTACACAGCTAAAACAAAGTATTTTGATACAAACAAAGACTTTTTTTTGTTAGAAAACCAAAATGATGAATTTACTCTTACAATCGATAATTATTTGCAACATCAGTTTAATTTTTACATGTAGAATTCCAATCTATTTGTCTTCCAATCATATTAATGATAACATTTATCCTGAATTTATTTAGAATTACTAAACTATCTGAATTTTGCACCATCGTTTATTCTTGTTTATTTATTTGTTTAATCATTATCAATATTATCATAATTATTATTACTTTTTATACTTTACATTTTATTTATTAATTTATTTGTTCATTTGTTTAATTATCTATTGAATTAATAGTTTGTTATCATGTACATTATATTATAACCATCACAATTTAGTCTCTTTGGGCCACGAGAATGGAATCTAAGTAATGAACTCCCCCAATTAACGGAATCTCTTCAATTATTACAACTCCAATATTTATTATATAATTCGCCTTCTATCACTGAAGAGAAATATTTGTTTCTTTCGCATATTCAACATGTTCAAAGTCTGTGTAATATCGCTATACATTTTTAGTCTCTCAGACGAATTTGAAAATCTTTTAATCTATCATCAAGTAAGGGTTTGGGCGAAATATTTCACTTTTATCTTTTCACCTATATATCTGTTTGTTTTAATACGTTATCCTTTTACGGTTGTTAATGTAAATGCGAAACTTATCGGCTTCAATGTTGGATATTACTGAATTAACCTTATCAGAGCTCATGAGGAAAAAAATCTCATAATTTTTACATTTTTTATCTAGGATATGTGAAAATTTACATAAGCATCAGTTTTATATTTTAGAGCACATTAATTCACAACCATGTTATCCAATTTCATTCTATTTTGTTGAATCGAAACAGGTAACAAGAAAAAACGCATAGTCCTCGGCAGTCCTTTTTAATTTGTGTTATACATGTACGGTGATGTTAAATTATATATGATGCAAACCAAGTTTTACAATTTACCAATAATTAATCTTGCATTAGAAATGTCAGTTTCGGACGATTTAGTCTATAGAGAGGACGTTTGTATATTTAAACACATATAAGTCCAAGTTACTGTTCCGTACGTCACAAACCACATCTAAGATTTTAGTATATATAGATGGTTGTAGTAAGCTAATACCCATTACAGAGCTTTTATCATACAAAATAAAACGGGAAATATGAAATGAAAATACATTTTGGTGTCAATATATAATGTTCACAACACCACATCGGACTTGCCCAAAAGATACGTTAGTCGAATTGTAGTTTTGTCTTAAAAGTCAAACGGAGAGACAATGTAAAATGAGCTCTTAACAAAATAAATATTATATGAAAGGTGAGAAAAGGGCTTGCTGCATGACAAAATAAGCGCTATTGCACATGAATGCCGCCAATACTAGGCTAAATCGGCAAACTACCGTATCCCGAGTATTTTTGTAAAGTTTTCTCTGACAATGACAAAGACTTTGATGACAATTACAATGACAATGATGTGCATTTGTAAATTATACTTTTTTCTCATTTAAAACGCTCTATTTATTTGTAAGTAATCATTCGCAACCAGATGGCCGAATTTCAGATTCTTTTACAATCAGAATAAATAAAATGGATACATGAATGAATAATAATTCATCGATATCAGTGAAAATGCAACATTGTGAGTATACATGAGTAAGCTTATTTCGTGATATAGATGCATGACGTGTGCCTAAGAGTTTCAATAGGCATAGCAATAGGTTCCAGCAAATATGAGAATTGTAAATAACGACAACAGTAATTCGTAACAACTTTTATGAATCCACCCCACTGTGAGAAAGAAGATATTAAGGGAGATGAAGGGGAGAGAGAGAGAGAGATGTAGGGGAGAGGAAATAAGGAATGGAAGATGACATGGGTGAAAGAGAGAGAAGGGGTCATTTTGATTGTTAAATTAACGGTCCTGGAACAAATTAAGTTAACAAATTTAGATTTCTGCTACTTTTGAAACATTATTTATCATATACAAGTGTCGAGAAAAAATAATCAGTTATTTTAAACATGTTAAAGAGTGCATTCCACGTTCCCCTTTCCGAATTGGGAGGGCCCCATGCACCCCACCCATTTTTAAATGTTATCGATACACCACTGCATGAAAGAGGAGTGGTGTAATGCGTATGATTATGAGTTATGCTAACGATAAGAGAAATTATAGAAGGAAAGAGAATAACAACATATAATGATAACAAACAATAAAACTTCTGTTGCATTTTGATGAAAATCTTTTTTTTCGACTTAATAGGGGCAGAAATAGCAAATGGTAATAAGTGCACAATGTGCGAATGAGATAGAAGACCATTCTAATCAAAGGAAAAGATACTTAAAAATGACGTTTTGAAGAATAATATTTGTTATGAAAGGCTTACCGCTCATGTTGCTTTGGAAGAGCGTTTTCTTCGCGGGATTTTCACCGTCAACCACCAACTTGATCACGCTCATCGACCGCTTACTCGCCATCCTAGCTAGCCCGTTAATCTCCCGTTGGATTCTCGCACCGTTCCGCTAAACTTCCCTATCAGCTTCTATAACTCCTCCTTCGTGGGCGTCCTTGGTCGTGTTTGAAGCCTCGAGTACCGGGGGACTGTCGGGGAGGGAAAGACAAACAGGGTGGTAGTCAATGATTAGCTATAATTGCTCCAAAGGCCCTTAATGTGAAGACTCATACACGGGTATTGACACAGTAGTTCATGTAGCAGAACAGTTTATCACATACAACCGTCTCTCTCTGTCGAATGTTGAATGTCACAGAGACCTTCGCATTTTTGTTTGACACCTTGGCTACATGCAATTATATTACATTGTTATTTATGTTATTTGTCGTTATTTGTTTATGTTATGTTAATGTATTGTTATATTTTATACAAATGTGAGTCTTGAGATGATTTATATGCCTTCCTTTTATTTGTGCATGACAATAAATAAATTCAATTCATTTCAATGTATGACTAGTATTTGTTTGTAGGTGTAATTGCTAATTTTAGCATCAGAATATCGTTTTACATCAAATAATAAGAATTTCATTTTAAAAATCAAAGAAAAGGACAGTGAAGTCTGTTTTGAGTGCATTACCGGATTGCGCAACAGGCGGAGTTTGCAATGTTCAGGAAACAAGGATAAGTCTGATAGAAAAAATAACAAACCAAAGAAAATGACTGACAATAGGGAAAAAGGGACATGGATGGAGGGGAAAAGGAGGAGATATAAAGACAAGCAGGCGGGTAGGAAGAATATTGGCAATACATGACATTTTTTAATTTTATTTCTAAAAGACTAAATACTCATCCTCATAGTTTTAGTAACTGTTGCGCCCCTTTTTGTTTAGGTTTGGAAGCACCCTGGGTTTGAATAAAATTTGTCTTTACTTGAAAAAGGCTGAATGGCGAAATTAGTATATTTTGTATCACCTAAAAGGTTGTTTATTAATTCTTCTTCTCTTGTCTATTTTTCGTCAACAACAACGTGGCAATATATGGAAATATATATTTATATACGCAGTAATTGAAATAGCCACCTGCAAGTTGAAATGGGGTCAGCCGACCCCACGTCGACCGACCCTGAGTTGACTTCTGAATTTAGAAAAAAATCAGGCAAAATAGAAGTAGTTTTGAATACGTAAATATTTTAAAAACCACACAGCAATATAATTTGGAGTAGGCTTCTGTATCTCGTATTTATACAGTCATATTTTCAGTGTCATTCATCTAACTTATATTTGTTTCAAATCATTTTTATGACTATAATATTGTTACTTTTACCATTGTGAGAGATTATTAACCATTATTGAACGTTTAATTCAATGTTTGAATAAAAATTACTGCTCTTGATGGCGGCTGCTCACATGTATTACAGGATGAGCAGTTCATAACAACCCATTTCATTTTATTTTATTTTATTCGGGCGTTGTCCCACGTGTAACCTTGCACCACCATTGCCCCCATCCCCCCCCCCCCCCTCCCTCCACAAAAAACCTCATACAGGGAACGCCTACTTGTAAGAGGGTATTTCAATTGCTGCATTTATATGTATGATTTATGTTTATTTATTTATTTATTTCTGATATTTAAACAGGGTGGCACATAATCACCAATTTGGTGGTCCCACATGAGGCTCTGTTTGGTAAGAATAAAATAAGTAATAGCAGGAAAAACAAAATTCATTAATTCATAAACATGTAAACAGGTAAAATACAAATTAATTGATATCCTTCCGCTCATTTTCAACATTAGAGTTAACTTTCTTTTGGGGCACCCTGTACCTAACTTCAATTCATCTCAACAATATGCTTCAATCGCCACCATGTGTCATGCAATTGGCCATTAATCATTAGTTGGTCTGCCACCGACAATGCATGCCATCACTTTTGAACATGAGCTCTTTTCATAATGTGTACAATGTACAATTGTCACTGTGATCGAGCGATTCGTCATTTCTTCATGCGTTTTTAGAAACTAACCCCCAAAATGTTCATCGTGGGTCGATATGGTAGTTTTACTTGTAACAAAACGTAATGGAGATATATATAAATATAAATAAACTGCTGGTCAAAAGTTTTGTTACATCCTTTATTTTGAGATCTCTCTTTTTAATTTCTGGTTACTGACTTTTGAATATCCCATTTTCGTAATTTATCAAAATGTATGCATATGCCTTTGTAAAACACCTCGATACGAATTATTGTATTCACCTGTTATGAATTAATGTATCTCAATAGTAAGTTCGAAATTGCATACATTAGTTGTTGCTACGTAGGACAAATGTTTTGGCTTGCCCTATCTAAACAACATGTATTTATGCATTTTGCTTTCTAATTGTCCTACATTATATTGAAACACTAGCCATTTTAAATTTTCAAATCAAACATATTTTATAAATAAAATGAACACAACATTTGTCAAATCTTGTAACTGTTAATATGTCTTCTTCTTATCCTCCTCCTCCCCTTCTTCGTCTTCTTCTTCTTATTTTTCTTTGTCATTTTCTTCTTCTTCTTCACCTTTTTCTTCTCATCCTCTTCCTTCTCTCTCTTCCTCCTCATTCTTCTTCTTCTTTTTCTTTTTCGCTTTTGTGTTCTGTTTCTTCTTCTCTTCCTTCTTTGTTTTTCTTTTCCCCCTGTCCTCGTCCGCCGTTAGGTGTCGGTGATGATTTCTTCTCTGTTTTTCAATTCAATAACTTAAAAGTGGGCGAATGGCACAAGTATACTGACATGACTGAGAAACAGAAGATGATACCATTCTCTTTTCAGTCATATAGGCTATATATATATATACACGTAGGTCTGTCGATTCCATTTCGTTATTTCTTTCCTCTCAAACCAATTTTGTTTGCTTTCTGAATCAAGTATTCTCTAAATCAAACAAATCAGTGTACATATCTTCTCATAATGTCAACACTCGAATTAATATGATTGAGTGGTGTCGGGTCAAAATTGATGGAAATTTATGTACCAATTCAGATGCCCTTCAGGCTTCACGGGAGATACACACTCCTGTATATACAGTGTGTTATTCTAAAAAGGATACTCGAATTCTCCCAACAATTACTGGAAATATGATTTCGTCCTGATTAATTGTTAAGAGTCATGTCAAAGTACAATTCATCCTCTTTCATAATGTTGTGATATTGTCATACATGAATGAATTTGAACGGTTTTATTTTAAAGTGAATGATGTCAAAAGTATATGTAGTTAACAAAGAGAAATAATGCGTAATGTATGTCCATTTTAGTATATTTGCAAACGAGCGAAACAAAATACCGAGACACAAAGCAAAGCTGAGTGATATTTCTTGATTTGTTTTAATATTCATACTCTTTCAAAATTTTAGTAACCTTTAATAAGACATGAGTCCATATGGCCCGAATGGACAGAAAAATCTGATTTAAGAACAGAATGGAAATGAATTTGGGAGAGATTCAATGAATGGCCATTCATTGTGTTGATGCATAGATCCATCTCTCGTGGGCGAATCAATTTTTATATTACTGGTTTAAAATGATTTTAACTCGATCTCAGGCTTTACCATCACAATATAATATGATTTGAAAGGGCATAAAATCTCATTGTTAGGATATATTATAATACATACATTTTCATATAATTTATGTGTATTTGACGAGATGTTGCAGGAGGAATGTTTGTTCCCTTTTTGTTTAGAGGAAAGACATTGTATAATTTATATACATCATTTGGGAGTTGGGAATATGATGAATGCTTACGTTAACTTGTGTATGATCTTCCATTGTAAATAATTATTTTAAAAATTCATAGATAACTAAGGTGCAGGACATCGTTTTTATGTGGGGTCTTCAGAAATATTTCTAAACACATCATGCATCTCAAGAGATTACCTGACAAGCGTTTAATTCAAGCCAAATCGCTCGAATTATCCTCTTTATAGTATGCCCAACTGGCCCCTTTATATTGTATATTTATAAAATAATGTAAAGTTAAGTTCTCAAGTGACACAATGATTATATAAAGAACGTTCATTTGATGACATTTTAAAACAAGCGGCATCGGCGCCCATAAAGGTGAATAACGGGGATAGTGAACAAATGACATAAACAAATATCCCTTCTTTTCCTTTTCTAGAAATAGTCCCCTTTCTTCTAATTAAAACTAAAAAAATCACAAATTTCGATGATTTAATAATGAGATTATTAACTCTCTAGGCAATTATACAAATAACTTTGAATTACACTAACGTGGTTCTTCTTGTAATATGCTGGATCTGTGTTTACTTCAAAAACAAATAACTGTTCATCTGAGTTATTGACACTGCCAGGAGTTTTAAGAATGAATCAATGACTAAGAAATTTTGTTTAATTGCAAGGGGACGAGTTTATTTGGAGGGTGCGATTATTAACAATGTACAACAAATTAAAGTATTAAACATTACTTACCTCACTCAGAAACTTGCATCTGTTATGTAGGTGCTGAGCATGTCCACTTTAACGATGGGGTACGGAAAAAATACCCGATTAACAGAATAAGAGAGTCAGATTATACCTTGGTAGAATGGTTTTACTCCAGTCGCCAAAGTTACGATCCGTTTTTGAAATCACGTATAGATAGAAAATGCGTGTTGATCTCGAATGCAATCTTTTTCAAAATGCTGCTTTTGGGGATCGTGCCACGAATTGATATCTTTTTACGCGAGACAAACTCAGGCGTCTTGCTGTTAAGGCCATGCTCATATAAATTAACTATTCTAAATGCGGTCCAGTTATCAGAAGTTGTATTTACTCAGCGGCAACCTCTTACGATATTACTACATCAATTATGGCGTCTGTTTGTTTGAGGCTTTAAATAGTCGTACGCATGCGCAGTAATGGCCCAGAAATGGACAAGTATTATCACTGGATTTATGCATAGCATCAATATGAAAATCATAACAATGAAGTAGCGGTAGTATGAGGAGGAGGATGAATGGAAGGACGAGGGGTATATTGCTAGTTTTAAAGGGTTTTAGTTCGATGATCCCAGGTTTTTCAGCAGAATCATATTTCTTCGGGATGTGGGCTAAGCAATGGAAGGGACAATTGCAGAAATCCGTAGAGCATTCATCGCTAGCCATTAATTTTGCACGTTTGCAGTCTCCTGTCTCTTATCACGATCCATGCTCTTATGTACATAGTTGCGATTGATACAAATCAATTTCTACTCTGTATAACACGGGGCCCTGGGCTCACATGTAACCTTATCTTTATGAGATAAAAAATGCATGACATTGCATTACATGCCTATTTTCCCCACTATTAAAAAAAAAATCATTCTTTCATTTTCGGTAGCATAGGTACGGAGGCATGGCGGTGGGCGCGTACTGCCCTTACCCATGTTGACGAAAACAGGGAAAGGCAAAATAGAGGGATAAGGGGACTTGAATTCAGATGAAAGGACCCTTCTCACACCCTCTGCTCCCTAACGGTATACCTTGTTTCTTTGTATTTCATCCACCAAGTGAGACTGGTGCATCTTTCCTTCAAAAAAAAAGGGGGGGGGGGTTCAATGGCTTGGCCAACAGCCGTCATGTCTGAGCTTGACTCGATTTACTCGTCTAAAGACACATTCATTCAAAATTGCTTTTGATGATTAGCTGTGTTCACATTGATGTGCGTTTTATATGTATTGTATTTTGTAGGTTTTTTCCATTTTTTTTTAAATCAGTCTATTCTGTTTGTTATAGCGCTTAGAGACTTTGGTGGTAAGCGCTTTATAAGTAACGTTTTTATTATTATTATTATTATTATTATTATTATTATTATTATTATTATTATTATTATTATTATTATTAAAATGAAGCTAAATCTGAAACCCATCTATATGATGCGTGCATGCACTTCAATTCTCTTCTCTCATTCTAATCATACATAAAAGGGTGATGTTTGATTTCACGTGTATGAAGAAATATAATTCTACTGGAAAACGGAATAACATTTTTCTTCCTCCAGTTTTCAACAAATCAATCATACAATTTATTATTTAGCAAATGATTTCCTCTTTTCCTTGACGGAAAAAATGGGTATTTATCCACCCCTCTCTCTCTCTCTCTCTATCTCTATCTCTCTCTCTCTCTCTCCCTCTATCTCTCTCTCTCTCTATCTCTCTCTCTCTCTATCTCTCTCCATCTATCTCTCTCTCTCTATCTCTATCTCTCTCTCTCTCTCTCCCTCTATCTCTCTCTCTCTCTCTATCTCTCTCTATCTCTCTCTCTCTATCTCTCTTTTTTTACGAGTTTATTGCTTACACTTTATTCAGATATGAGATTTGACAATATGAATAGTAATAATATATGACCAATGATAATAAAAAGTACCCCAAAAAGGAATTTAATATCGTAATTCAAATCGAAGATGACATACATATCTTTAAAGCAACATCTATGAAAAGCTCAGTAGACAAGAATTGTTAGATAAATATTAAATAAATGAGTTTTACCCCCCAAAATATAATAATATAGTAAGATAAGAAACTGAATATCTTTCCTAATGGAAGTACTGTAAGAAATGTAAATAAAATGCAAGCTACGTTCTAGTTGTAATTGAAAGTATCTCTGAAAAGGCTAGGATATAATACATGAATAGCTAGTTTACCCCTCCACAAGAAAAACAAAATATATATATATAATAACACTAATAACAATAGTTAGGACCTGCTGCTACTAAGATGCTCAAGACTATTACATCTACAAAGTGCAATGATTAAGTCAAGGAAAATATATATTGATAAAAACATGGTATTTTTCTTTGAAAAGGAGGTCAAATGGTCGAAGTTCGGCAAGTCAATTTACATGAAATTAAATAACTTTTAATCTTGTTATGGCAATTAAAAGGACCATTTAAAGATAGTTTAGCTGTGAACGTAAAAAATAGCTGGAATTACTGTAGTTTGCATCACTATAGTGATACTAGTGCTCATATTTCAGGATCGTCAGGTCAAAGGTCAAAGGTCGTAAAGATCGATTGACATGTACGTATATATTTGTTTTGCTCTCCGTTATATTCCAATAACTATTCAAGCCATGAACTTAACCCGAGTTAAGCGGAGGCAAATTGAAGACGCAGTCGCATTTGTCTCATGTGTATACTGCGTGTTGCACTTAATTGTTTGTCATTTTAAAGTCATTATTTCACAAACATAATTTGCAACGATTAAATTAGTGAATTAAACTGTTTGTTTAGACAGTGTGTATCAAAGAAACGCACAGTATCAAATATGTAGTATGTCGAAATTAAAATTCTTTTCGATCACTGATTTTTGTTGTTGAGAAATGTAACATAAATATTCCGGTTTACATAAGCATCTTCTAAGCATCTTATCTAGAAATGTGTCATATATTTTACAATTCAAATACATAAATACAATAAAAGTTTTATAGTGGAATAAGAATGCACTTTAATTACTGCGATTATAACATTGTCAAGTAAGATAGTGATATATACAATAAAAATTGGTTCCCAATAAAAATATTAAAAAACAACAGAAAAGGGATGCAGCCATTTGGGGGGATGTTTAGAAAGTATTAATAGTATAAATAGAATTATCTTAAATAGTTTACAAATATGAAATAAGAGGATGCAGCCATATTTGAACAAGAGAAGTGAGTGAATTTGGGCAAATGCTTAGAAAATATTAATAGTATAAAAGGTAAACACCTCAAATAATATACAAATATGAAATAATAATAGGATGCAGCCATATTTTGGCAACAGAAGTGAATTTGGACAAATTTTTGGAAATTATTAATAATGTAAATATAAGTCTGTGAATATTGATGTGCATCCCCTCTTTCTTTTCTCTTCTTTTTCTGTCTTTTCCCCCTTTTACCAATATTTTGTTCCTCCATATTTGTATTATTATGTATCCTTTGAGGGTAGTCATACTATCAAGCTTTGCTTATTTTATCAACCCTTCTGTTTGATGTTCTCGCTTAGTTACACACAACCTTACTTTATTCTACATATATTCTTTTGTCATGTGTAAATTTGCAATATTTGTTTGTTATATATTTGTAAAAATGCAAAAGAAAAAGAAAATCAAACAGAAATAAATAAATCAAATTAAAAAAAATCAAATCAAAACACATCAAATAATATATAGATATGAAATAATAGGATGTAGCCATATTTTGGCAACAGAAGTGAATTTGGACAAATTTTTGGAAATTATTAATAATGTAAATGGAAAACACATCAAATAATATACAAATATGAAATAAGAGGATGCAGCCATATTTGGGCAAGAGAAGTAGATGTGAAAAATGTTTTCACAACCATTTTGAATTTTCCTAACCATTTTTCCATGAAAATAAGACATAAGACAGGCTTCTAAAAATCTTTCAACACTTAAATGTCTAAAATGGTATATATATAGCATATGTATTGCTTTGTGACACTTTACAATCACCTAACATGTAATTAAATAGTAATATTATAGTTAGGAGAATTAAGGAATCGATCAGATCATTTTTTAAAAATGTTTATCATTAATAATGGTATGTTTTCACTCAAACTTTCAGATTACCTTAACTTGTACATCTTGCATTGAAGTCACTACCTTAACACCATTTTCTCTCATCTGAACAATTTTACCAAGTTCCTTTCAGAAAATGTTTAAACATACATCTACCATAAATTTAATTGTTGCAAAGATGTTTTCACACAACCCCTGTAAGAAAAAAAAATCTATTACGTCATCAATAACTACAGAAAGTGAAACTTTCTGTTTGGAGCAATTTGGAGAGGAGCTCGCAAGATACGTCACAGTGTTGCCAATTTGTGTTTCCCTTAAATTTGAATGACGTATTGCTCAAATTGTCACTACTTAGTTTCATTATTGTTTCTTCGTCAATTAGTAACGAGGATGAAAACGGAACGGTCTTCGTTGAGACCTATGATAAGCATGATATTGGAAATGGAGGGCGTTTCACAAAACTTGTCATTAGTGACAAGAGAAAGTTTTTGTTATAAGCTACTGAAATCCTTGCTTCTGATTGGTTATCAGCATATTTGTCACTGATTATTGGCATTTGTCATTGAAAAAAGGCTTTGTGAATCATCCCCCTGATGTCGATAGCGATAGGGGTTGTTTCTTACAGTGGTTATTAGAGAGTGTGTGTGTGTGTGTGTTTTATTTTTACAGACGTGTGTCAATCAGATATGATTATTTACGTCTGGGGACCGACCTTTAAACGTCACCATCCGAAAGACGTGACTCAGTTTCGAACCTGCGTCCTCGGCTGAATCAGTTTGTAACTTCCACTGTTAGCTGGATTACAGGCGCACGCCACAACGCCTAGAGCGTTGCTGATGGCGTCTTCGTAGAGGGCGATGTTGGTTATTAGAGAGCAATGCTGATGACGATTTCGTAGAGGGCGATGTTGGTTAATTAGAGAGCGATGCTGATGGCGTCCTCGTAGAGGGCGATGACGAGGATGACGAGGATCCCGAGCAGAAAGCCAAAGTTCTGAAGGCAGAAGATGATTCCTTTTCTCTCTCCTTTGTAAGCATGGAGAAGAGGAAGCTGGAAACGAAATAAAATAAAAAACATTATATTAATAATAATAATAATTATAATTATAATATCGATAACAATAACGATAACAATAACGATAACAATAATAATCATAATGAAAATAATGATAGTCATCGTTGGTTCTTGTATAGCGCTTATAATGTCTGTCAGACTTCGAGGAGAATGAAATCCCCAAACTATTAGCCCACTATTTTATTCAAAATCATCAGCCATCAATAAACAAATCTTGAAATCGAATTTTTGCTGAACTTACCATGTGCACTAGTCCAACGTAGAGGAACGTGCCGGCAGTAGCAGCGAAAATCCATTCCCGCGCGTTCTGCGTCTGCGCAAGAGGGATCCCGACCCACAGACCGACGAAACACGTGCATGCGGACAAGAGATTCCAAAACACCGCTGTGGACAAGCGCATGCCCTGGTTGAGGAGAACAGCTAAGTCACCTGCAAAGAACAAGGAATTATAGAGAATGCAACGAAAATAAGCATAGGAAGAAATTAAATCCCTATACATGCCACACAAATAATCTCTCTGTGCTCCATTGTACCGTGAAAGACCACCCAAGGGAGACAAGAAAAGTGGTCTTTATAGGCAGGTGGTCTATATGTACAGGTTCCTTTAGTACATGTTTCAAGGAGGAATCCTTTTCAAGGGAAACAGAAAATGGGGTCTTTTTAGACAGGTAGTGTTTCTATACAGGTGGTCAGTAAAGCAGGTTTGACTGTATTTAGTAGTTAGGCCTACTTAACTTATGTGTGACATTTACAAGAGTCCAACAGTTTGTTGTTGACCGAGTACAGAGAAGAAAAATTATTACATTTCAAAATTCACAACAAAGTAGGTCATTCATCAATTTGAGAAATATAGAGTAGGATTATTCAAAGGTGGAGCACTTTATTAAGACAGTGTATTCTACTGACATTACTTAAGATTAACGTATACTGCCATCTGCTGCTCGCGACGGCTCGATGTGCAGGATGTGTCGACAGCCATGTCGCACAATGCATCACCAACTGATTAGCACGCGTGATATGTGCATGGGTACATGAACCGGAAGTCGTTCTATGTCTACGCATCAACCGAAAGATGGCGCGATTTGAAAATACATTTCAGCAGTGGTATAGCGATGTCGTTGAAATATCCTGCCTTTAAAGTAATTCGGTAACATTGTTGAAGAAAAAAAACTGTTTGATTTTTCTAGGAAACGTTTTCTATAGGAAATTTATTATAGTATTCCCGACCATTTTTCGATTTCCCCAACTGTTTTTCCATGAAAATAAGATAATAGTTCAACACTTAAATGTCTGAAATGGTATATAGAGACTATTCATTGTTTTGTGACGATTAACATTCTCCTAAAATGTAATTAAATTGTAATAATATAGTTGGAAGAATTAAGGAATCGATCAGATCAGTTTTCCCCAATTTGTATCATTAATAATGGTATGTTTTTACTCAAACTGTCAGATTATCTTTGATTGTACATCTAACATTGAAGTCACTATATAACACCATTTTTCTCTCATCTGAGCATAGTTACCAAGTCCCTTTAAGCCCCACTGCACTTTGTATAGCTACTTGGGCCCTCTATATAGCAAACAATTATGCCTAATCGGTGCATGTTGGTCCCCCATGATCCTCTTTTTCTTATGTTAATTGAGATATGATTTGATGAGATAACCACCTGTTAGTGACCTTGCAAGGAGGTCTAATTCCCCTGGCCAAACTAGTGCAGACGGAATTTAAGATCCATCGTTACTTACCTAGCTCGTGGGGCAGCTCGTGGCAGAAGACAGCGATAGTTGTGCTGAGACCCGCCGGGATGCCGATGGTGAAGGCAGCTCCGATCGCCAGTCCGTCTCCGAAGTTATGCAGGGCATCTCCCATCACGATCATCAAAGGCACTGTACCACAACCTTTAGAAACAAACATATTAAAGCTAAAGTTGAGTTCTGGTAAAAAAGGGAAAATTTATTCTCACAGAATCAAACGAAACTTACACTGAATGTTCAAGATTACAAATAAATGTCATTTGCCAAATAATTTTGGAAGAAAATGTATACTGGCTGAGTAATGAGCATAGAAAAATAAGGAAATCAAGGTAAGTAGGCCCGACACCATTTGTGTAGTCCCATATACATCTTTCTGTGTACAGTGTGTGTTACTTTACCAAGATTTGGCCAAATCTACTATGATTTTGATGACTCCAGAACCATGCAGTACACACCAATACTTACATGCTACATGATCAACTTTTTCTGATCCATTCCACACCTTTTCTTTCACAATGCAATCGGATGTTCAACTTAGTCTTTAAAGAACTGTAGTGGTGGATTCTGGTTTGTGTTAAAGAGGATTGGGGGTACCAATCCGGAAATAACTGACAGGATCAGAGTCGTTGATTATTACAATTTATGTCAATTGGATCCAAATTTGAAAAGGGAGAGCAACCTTTATCGTATTTGAAGGAGGGGGCAAGGGAGCACTTTGCCCTTCCTCACATTTTTTTCTTCAAAGACATATATATATTTTTAATGAATTCAAGGTAGTGAGGCACTATGTGGACATAAAATAGCCTAATCTCGTTATGATATGTGGCCATATCCAAGAAAGTCAAGTTTCGTTTTCTTACACTTGCAGAACTTAAATGAGAAAAGTTTGAGGTATGCAGTATTACCTTTCAAGCAATAACTCTGCTTTTCGTCACCATCCTCAGCGTCGGTCTTTAAGAAGAAAAAAATACATTGTCAATATATATATTTTGTTGTTTGAATATATAAAATATAAGAAAAAGGTTATTTTAAAGGGCAATATGCCAGTTTTGAGAAAGCAGATGTTTAAATGAGCTTCAAATATCCACAGATATTTGCACCTTTGAGATGTCCCACTTTGTACATTTTTGGATAATCACTACAAAATTGATAGAGATTTTGTTTTTTATTGAAAGACTTTATTTATTTAATAAAACATGCACAAATGCAACTCAATTATTACAAATAAATATAACATAATGGTAAAAGGAAGCATGGTTACAGCATTTTGTACATGTTTCAGATTATCTACTGATAAAACAAACTTTTTGTTTTTAACGTTTCAGCATATTCTTAAAGGAATATAAAAATAATTGTTCTCCTTTTCATTTTCAGAGAATATATAAAGTTTCTTTTCAGTCTTGAAAGGTTTCAGTTAAAATCAATTACTTTCAAATGCATATCTTGCATGTGCCCTCTTGAAAATAATACTCTCAGTAGTGCGTCAACGAATGTGCCGTCGGTTCACAAATACAAAATGATACATAGCTTTCATGAGCATGTAGCAAGCATTCGTCTCGATGTCATTCAAATTTATTGAATACTTAATTTTAAATAGCAGCTTTGTTTAGTATACTTAATGAAACAAGCAAAACAAATCGTTCTATGTCATTTCTAACGAACCCATATAACATTCAATATTTCATAAATATGATGAATGATAAGAAACCTCAACTGTATGAAAATACCAATGATATCATTATTTTGTCGAAATGTCTACGATGTTCTTTATTCAAATATGACGACACTCTGGAAATGTCATTCCGTATTAATCACATGTACAAAACTAGACCGAATGCATAGTCTTCTTACCAGGTTTCTCTCCGAATCGGATACTTTGGATGTCTTCTGTAATCCCTTGATTGGTGTCTGGGAAACCTGCATGTTGATAGACCTGTTGCCATGGGCATGCGAATGTTTGCAGCACTGATGGATGAAGAGTACAGAAAGATGAAATGGTTTAGAGAAATGCGTGAAACGTGTCCTTCAACCTCTTTGAAGGGTAAACAAAAAGGGAGAAGGGGTTTGGAGAAAGAAAGAGATTGAGAGAGCGAGAGAGAGAGAGAGAGAGATAGCGAGAAAGATATAGATAGATAGATACAGAGAGAAAAAGAGAGACAATAGAGAGATATATATATAATTTATATATATATATAGAGAGAGAGAGAGAGAGTGCGTGTGTGAGAGAGTGAGAGGGAAAAGGAGAGAGAGAGAGAGAGAGAGGGGGGGGGGGGGAAGGGGAGGGGAAAAAACCCACACGCATTCTCCTTTAATCGGCACTTTAGGAAAAAAAATGGCGGAACCCACGATGCGCCAATGATTCTGACTGACCTTCTTCTTCGTCTTCTAATACATTTTGTTACATTTCTTCTCATTATTTTTCTTCTTATGTTCATCATCATTATAATTATTAGTAGTAGTATTAGCAGTAGCCTAGTGGTAGTAGTATTAGTAGTATTAGTAGTAGTAGTAGTAGTAGTAGTAGTATCATTATTATTATCATCATCATTATTATTAGCTTTATCATGAGTAAAGAAGTAGTAGTAGTAGTTGTAGACGTACGGTGGTAGTAGGAGTATTAGTAGTAGTACTACTACAACAACTATAACAGACTAACCGAGGTCAAGCTAGAAACTCTCTCCACCAGAAAGAAAGCATAGATCGCCATCTCGACCGCCAGGCATTTCCAGACGTAAGCTAGCTCGGGATTGGCCGGTCCGTGGACGGTGTGATCATGCCCAGAACTATCATGAGCATGCAAGCCAACAGCCTGGAATAAAATGAGATGATATCAATTATGAAGATTACATGTAAACACCTTACCATTTTAAATGCATTCTGAAAAGAAAATAAAGGTAGACTTTGAAGAAAAATTGGGTGTAAAATTGTCTTTTGGAGGAATTACAAATATGTTATCAATAATCCATTTTGAGTACGGCTTAATGGAAAAGGCGATCGAGCAGAAATGTGTCATATTTTGGTGTACAAGTTGGTGTTTTGGTTCATTTTTGATTAGCATTTATAAATTATTAACGGTTAAATTGTATGAAGTAAACAAAGGATCAACATAAGTGAAAATAAAATGGCGTGTATGGATCAACTCCAAAAGTTGGGTTCCGTACGTGCGCCCTATTCTAACCTCTAACCGTACGGTCAATACGCGTGCGTCAACTCGTCTACTCAACAAGCCGATTGACTGTTTACTGAAATTATATTTAGACTGTAATATCTTTTTAAAAGACGTAACGTTTAAAGGCCCGCTGCACTACTTGTAGCTACTTGCGCCCTCTATATAACAAACAATGCATAATCGGTGACCATTGGTCCCCCATGATCCTCTTTTTCTTATGTTAACTGAGAGCCGAGTTGATGAGATAACCACCTGTCCAGTGACCTTGCAGGGCGCTCTAATCCCTCCTGTAAACTATGGCAGATAAGCTTTAAAGCTCATAGATGGCATACATGATAGCGACAAGGAACCCCTTACATCAAGAGCCAAACTTGTGTGGTGATAGGGATAGGTACACTTTAACATTTCACTTATTTTGGGAAATGTAATATGACCCTAAGCTTCACCTGCGGAATCAGATGCAATACTGCATCCCCCGTGAGTGTGGCTACTGCTAGGGCCATCATGGTCTGTAAAACTGCCTCGTAGACGAACCCAGACATGCAGGGGATGAAAGCGGCACCGAGAACGGCTAGGAGACTGATGATGAGCACGGCTAGATTACTGTACCCCCAAACTGAAACAAAACAAATGGTTAGGTTTAATTGAAGATAATGTTGAGTACTGGTCATGATATTAAATTATCAGGGAAGTAATTGGGAAAAGTTGATTATGCAGGAGGGCATTTTTCCTTCATAAAGTTTGCAGCAAACTCTGACTGCGGGATCCGATTTGAAAGGATAGGCCATTTTCATAATGTAATCAAACTAAATGCACAATTCTACGTTTAAGTGCCTCGTTACAAACTGTGTCGTTCAACTGACAAGACTAATTGCATACATATCGTATTGTTAGGTAGGCCAAGCCATATTATGTTTGGAAGTTCAATATGTATGGTAGTTACAACTTTTAAAATTCACAACTTTTGTAACGGTTACTCTGAACTCGTTCAAGCTTTTTGGCTTTCTTATAAAGCAATTTTCTCATTAAGGTTTGATTTCCCCTTAAGAAACGGCTTACTTATCGGATCATCGCATCGGGTCTGGTGGTCGTGTTACAAGACTCTTTGTGAAAACATGCCCTTTATTCACGAAATGTCGGGGATAATGGTGGTGAAATATACCCCTTCCATCAACGAATAGTCTGATCAAATTTACCCGACAGTTTGTGACAATCCTACAGCAAATATACGAAATTTCGCGTCATTAACATGCAACTTCACAGGATCTTCCGTTTTCGTTTCACGAAAAGTCGTGTAATGCAACTACCCGACCAGACGCGATGACCCGACGAGTCGAAGTAAGCATTTATAAGTAACTTACTCTCAGCATCTGTATAGGAATTAGTTGGATCCTCGTGATCATCTTGACCGCTGCATGCACCCGATAAGATCTGCTGAATCAGGGATGGTAGCATGGATGTATACTGGGCCTCGCTCATACCAGCTTCATGGTCTACCCCGTGGATGTCTAGGAGTTGCTCCCCCGTGTAGCAAGTCTGGTGGATTGAAATAAAGTCAGGGAATAAATCAGTATAGTCAAGCATAATAGGATATAGTTACCACCACTAATATTACTACTACTTGTACTACTACTGATAACAAGAATATAAGTAGTAATAGTAGCAGTAGGAGTAATACTACATTTACTCTTAAATGTCACAAATTGTCTTAAAGTTTGTATAAACAAACGTATCTTTTTACTCCAACATTACGCTTTGATACACACATAATTAATTATTTTGGAATAATTATTTAAAACAATTTATTTTACACTGCAGTATCATCATTATGTGACGTAAAGGCTTCATACCCGGCCTGTATGAAATTATGAGTTTGATTCGTAAAGATTATGTATTTTAACTTCTTATCAATTTTATTTTTAGTCGATGATCGTATATTAGGACCCTTTTAACATTGTAGACATTTTGCAATAAGTCTCTGGACTGTGTACTACTTTGTATTTAAATTTAAAGGAGCTCTCTCCTCAACCACCTATAATGTATTTAAGTGTAAGCACATTATCTGCACTAGTTTGGCCAGGAGGGATTAGATATCCTTGCATGGTCCCTGACAAGTGGTTATCTCATCAAATCAGCTCTCAATTAACCTTAGAAAAAGAGGACCCTGGGGGACCAATGGTCACCGCTAAGGCATTGATTGCTATATAGAGGGCGCAAGTAGCTATAAGTAGTGCGGTGGAGGTTAAAAGATCATTTCGTATTCAGAATACGCCCCGGGTACTTACAGCGGACACATTCAGTGCATCGTTGTGGGATCCATGGTCATGTTCGTCCGCCGCACGCTCCACGCGGTGTCGGTATCCCACCGCTGGAACCGTGTCCTCGGCATGTCTTCTTCGACGATGGTCGTGGTCATCATGGTCATCACCATCGTCGTCAGCATCGTCGCCATGATCGTCATGTTCGTCCGATGAGCCTCCGATACCAAGCTCCGAAAGCAAATGTTCTAATTCTAAAAAACAGAGGCGAATCATGGTGTTAGTACGCTTATTATTTCTTCTAATACTATTTCTAACGAAAATATGAGTAATGATCATAACAACAATAGTAAAATGACAATAACAATATAACCATAATAACGATGATGATATCCAAAATACTAACAATAATAATAATAAAGATTAGCTAGTTTGTATATCGCTTTTTATTATGTTGTAAAATGCAGTAATCAAATTAATCAATCAAACAAACAAAACAAATTCAAGGTCACCTTCTTCAGGAATGACACCGCCTGTTGCGTACGAATTGAAGACTGCATCCACGAAGTCATCGGGCGATGGTAAAGTTGCCTCGCCGATGCAGTAGCCTTTGAGAAGGTTGGAAACCACGAGTTCAGCTATGGCATGGACCTCCGCTTCGCTAGCACCTGCTTCGTGATCGCCGACGGTTGCGGTAAAGACGGATTCGACATCGAAGCACTATGATATGGTATTAGAAATTAAAAAAAAAAAATGGAAACAGAAGTAAGTAAATGAGGAAGGGGCAGTGTATTTTCACATTATAATTAAGATGAGGCAACGATCGAGACTAAGAAGAACAAATGAAGAAGGAGGGGAGGAAGAAAAGTAAAAGAATGGCGAGAATAAGACATCTCAATGTTACATTTAAAATTACGAAGACAAACAGAGAAGTGTAAAGACATATTTCTTTTGTTTTTGTGTGGGTTAGTTAGATTTGTTCGGTCTGGTTGGTTGGTTGTTATTTTAAGAATTTTAAGTTAGAAGTACCTTATGTTTGCAATACGAAACCTAGGATATCAATAATTAACAAACTTTGGTATATCGATCCTCGTAGGAACAACGTTTAAACAATTTTCCATAATTGTTCTCGGAAAGTGTCCCCCCCCCCCCTTTTTTTTTGTTTTTTTTGTTTTACAAATACGTAACTATGTTGGTGTTGTCACGTTGATAACGTCACTAAAAGACGAATTTATTTCGTGCTTTAGAGATGGAATTAAATAGTCTTTCTCATAATTAGTAGGTTTAATTTAAAAACCTAAGTGGATGCACACCTCGTTTGGCATGGTGTTCGGTTTGGAATTGGGGGCGGGGGCGGGGGCGGGGGCGGGGGCTGCGGTTGGGGGTTTACCGTTGTTTGGGTGGTTGCGGTATAATTTTCACTCATGGTATGTAAAATTTCTTCCAAATCCTCTTCGGACAGGGTTGCGTTCGTCCCATCTGCTCCGGCAGACATGAGCTCCCCAAACACCGTCTCCTCACCGAGATCCGTCCCGCCAGCACCGGCGGCGCACACCGCCTCCAAATCGAACGTAGCATAGAGCAGCAGCGGTGTCGCTTCGTGGAAGACATCCTCACTGAATCCGTACGCCGGGTCAACGTTGAGGGCGGTAAACAGATCGGTCACGAAATCGTCAGAGCACTGCGAAAACAATAATATTGATGTGATATTCATAAATGTCAGATTCATCGAAACAGAGCGAATATTTGCTCAGTTACACTGAAGGTTAATATGTTTTTGTCGCCAACTGATTGGATCACCTGTCCTTGGCTCCAAATGAAAAGTCATTGTTATTAAAAGCTACTAACAAAAGAGAAAAAATTAGCAGGAAATCGTATTGTGGTAGACGTAAGTAAAGTAAGTAAAGTTTATTTAACCATAAAATGAAACATGTACATACAAATGAGTAACATAGTAAACATAATACGGTAAAGGACACCCTTAGAAGCAAATTGCTTGTGGTGGGGCCTTAAAAAGAAAAAAACAAACTACACATAAATTATACAGTTTAAAAACTTTAAAATAACATGATACAAACACACATGCACGCTCACACATATACATACACACATACATTCAAAATATCCTCCTCTGCTCAAACAAGACGTAAGTCTTTAATTTTATTTCGTTATCATTCAAAAGGAGTCGGCCAAGACTGTGGTAGTAAGTAGTTATAGCAGTGAGACCGGGGACGGCCATAGGTTTTGTACACGAATATTTTCGTACTTATACTATTTCTAATTGGCTCGTGTACATTAACTTTGAAAACTTTGGGAAAAAACGGACTTCGGAATATCCTAATAATCTTTAAGTAAAATCAAAAATGTCAAAATTCACATAGAAACACGTGTTGTATCACTTTTTAATACAATTATGTGACTTGGGTTCTATTTCTCTAGTTAAAATGTTTTGTATATTTTATCTCTGTTCCCTGGTAACATGACTAAATTGCAATTCTTATCTTTGTATTAAAATCTGTTTTGCATAAAGTTGTCCACATTGAAACGGAAACAAATAAAGTAAAATAAAGTAAAATATCTGTACTACATAGTGTTTTATTTCATGAATGTGTGTATTCTACGTCACAATAGTCGTACAACAAACTATGTCCAGAATGAATAGAGTCGAGATGGTGAAACTATGAAATAGAGTTACGGAGTTAATAATAGAGTGTTAGACCTCAAAAAGAGAGTAGTTGCTCTAGAAAAGTTGGTGATTATTCATAAAGCTGTATGATCCGTCAACGGCGTTGTGGATAATACGGCGTTACGACATGTTGCGGCGCTAAACTGCGGATTTACGGTGTGTATGTTTGCTCATAGACCTACCACCACCTAGGTCTATGGTTTGCTGTACAATTATGTTAACTTTTTTTAAAACGTATTTACGATGAAATAATATAATAATGTGACTTGGGTTCTATTTCTCTAGTTTAAAATGTTTTGTATATTTTATCTCTGTTCCCTTGTAACATGACTAAATTGCAATTCTTATCTTTGTCTTCAAATCTTTTTTGATGATGTTTTGAGAAAGTCCAAACATAGACCTGAACTATATATGAAAGTGTTGTGTGAAAGTCCAAAGAACTCGGCGGTATGAACAGGTCGGAGTAAAAGAAGCTTCATTATTTTGTCGAAAGTCTGTTGAGAGGTTCATAAACTCAATGCACGATCAATAAGAAACAACGGTACTATTGCTGAAAAGAGGTAATTCTAATACAAAAGAAACTAGACCTATACGAAATCAATACCCTTTACATAATGCCTACAATACGCTTTCTCGTGTTGCCAAGCGAGGATCACAGTATGGGTAAATACACGTTCCTTTATTTAGTTGATCGAACAATAGATACTGATCCAACCTATAACGACGTTGTAAACATTCCTCAGAGAGGCAAACTCAAAGTATAGAAAGAAAATTCCTTAGACACGCATGTTAAAAGTCAGTTCCACAAAGAAAATACCTATCCACTATTCAAAACGTCAATAATTCCTAAAAATCTTTAAGTAAAACTCAAAATGTCACAATTCACATAGAAACACGTGTTGTAAGTCACTTTTTGCTTGAAAAAAATGTAAGTCCAAAATGAAAAATCACTAAGTAAAATTCATAAAGTCTCAATGCCTTAGACACATGTGTTAAAAGTATGTTGTTATCGAAAAAATAGACAATGTCAAAGTTAATGTACACGAGTCAATTAGAAATAGTATAAGTACGAAAATATTCATGTACAAAACCTATGGCCGTCCCCGGTCTCACTGCTATAACTACTGTAGTATTTGTTGATAAAGTTGGACCTGGCACAAAATTGTGATGGGAAAAATAATATTAACGGCACTTTTCCAATCTTGAGTGAATTTCGCAAATCGCTTTGCGTTATGATCCAACCGACTGTTTATCAAGTCCCACCCAATAATCCATTTAATATTAATTTAATCAAACATAATTTGTTCTTTTTTATAATTTATTTTTCCATCATGCTCAACATAATTCGATCACCCTACAGGATAGTATAATAGGATAATGCTATAAGCTCAATAGTGGCAAGCATTACCTTTAAATAGAAAGTGGTGTATTATTTGTATCTTTGGACCAATAATAACGTATCAAGGAGCATTGGGGAAGGGCCATTTGGCCCACCCTTGATAAGTTTCCTACCAAGACACAAACAAAATACCTGACTTTCTAGTTTAGAAGGGCTATAATACTAGCCAACCCGGCAACAGACCATCTTATTAACGTTCATCTTTAAAATTATAAAATTGCGTTAGGTGTGGCCATGTGAGTGACAGCGTGGGTGAAGGTTTAAGTGTATAAGTGTGTTTGCAGCCGGGGTTTTGACAGACGTCTATCATTCTATCAATCATATTATGATTATTTACGAATGGACCCTACCTTTAACATCATCATACGAAAGACGTGACTCAGTTTGGAACCAAAGTCCGATCTGAGTCAATAATATTGGAAGGCAATGTCAGTGAGCTGCTCGTACCAGGGACACCCTTGGTAGAACCAATTCACTTCTCCATGTTAATGGTGCGTATCCTTAACTTTTCTTATAGTCTGGTATCAGTCCCATGCGATTATATATTATATCAGAATCTCTTTCTTTTCGCCTCTCTTTCTGTCACTGATTCTCTCATCTCAGTCTCTTTCTCTCTCTATTCACATCTCTTGTCACTCTCCCCTCTCATTCTGCATGTAGTTTTTTCTGTAACCATTTTATAACAGTAAACTATATTTAAGACACGTTGTGCGGTTAATTTCTTTTTTAAGCAAATCGGGACGGTAACTTTTTTTCATTTAATGTTGAAATTATTACTTTGTTTAAACCAAAATGTGATATTTGATGTCATTGATGCTATCAAAGCAATAATTTTCAATTATGATTCGTGTAGTTTGTTCAGTAACATGGAATCTATAACAATAACAAAAATAATAATATTGATGATGATAACAATAGTAATAATAACATGTCTTGTTTACCACGGATAGCCTCATCAGTATTGATACTGTCCTTCCTGAGGGCCCGGGGGGGGGGGGGGGGCAGGGGCGGATCCAGGAATTTCTTGCCGGGGGTGGGGGGGGGGGGGCACACGGTGGGAAAGAGAACATATAGTCCCAAAAAAAATCGCAAGGACTCAGCCAGCGGTTGAATAAGCGGGGGGGGGGGGGGGCACGCCCCTGTTTTTCAGTACATTTTGGGCGAATTTAGGGCTGATTTTAACATATTTTTGGGGGCCGGGGGGACGTGCCCCCTGGATCCGCCACTGGGGGGGGGGGGAGGGGGTCATAAAGCTGTTCGTAAGGTTACGCACGACTTTACGATCGACTTGTATATGAAGTGCCAGATAGGATGCCAAAAGTTTTTTCTGATATTTCCAATAAACTCAATTAAATTATGGCAGAAAAATATACTTTGCATTAAAAATGTTTGTTATAATAAGAATGTTAATCTACATCGTTTCAACTTTAGTTGATGCAGTTAATAATGATTGAGCGTCCCATTTGGCTTTTCATATATAAGTCGTTCGTAAAGTCATGCGTAATTCCATCCGGGGGGGGGGTCACTCGCAACCCAAAGTGAAACGCGTGCTCGTCATAAAAAACGTCGAAAAGGGTCGATTTTTGGCATTGTGGCGCCGTCGACGATTTTAGAAAAAAAAAAGGGTGCTTTTCAGGTTAAGTTTCGACGTTTAGGGTAACTTTTCGGCCATACCAGCGCCGATATGTATTTGCGTGTATACTACCCATGTCTCTCTAAAATTATTTCCTCCGAAGAGATATGTTTCCCTTGATTTTTCTAGTCTCTACGCCAAGACTTTGAATTACCTGGGTTTGCAGTGTGTTTGCAGCCTGTAATAGGGTACAACACTGCCGGCCATATTAATCTTGTTGTGTATGTTTGCAATAGAGTAAGTTCTTAATTTGAAATTTCTAATTCAAATTGAAACTAAGCACTTTTTACTGAGCCATGTTAGTTTATTAGCTGCATTAATAAACTTGAATGAAGAATCAGCGTATAGCTTCCAGTCTATAATGCCTCAGTGTGAAAATTAACATTACACTACTAGCTTGGTGAAGGTGGGGATTATAAGGGGCCCTTTAAACATGGCCAGTCGTGCTAACATCAAATATCCTTGCTTGATATGTAATACTTCAGTCAGGAGCGGCTTTGTGCATAGGATGTCAACAATGGTGCCATGTTAAATGTGGAGTCCCAATATCTGACTATGAGCGAGACATTGATTGGACTTGTAATAAATGTATATTTCAAGAACTACCGTTCCACGATCATTGTGAACCTGAAACATTAATACCACAACTAGAAGACATAGATGATATTCCTGCTATATCTCGTGACTTGGACGAAGTCCGGTTAAATACTACATGCAATCCCTGTTCTATATGTGAAAAACCTGTAAAGAGAAATCAGAAAGCAGTGTTGTGTACTAATTGTTCAAAATGGGTTCATATTAAATGTGCAAATGTTCGACCTGCTAATTGTAATGATCCTAGCGAGAAACTTGTTAATTGGCAGTGTACAAGATGTTTATTTCCCAATTACCTTTTCTATATGATACAGACTACGAACAAGAGACAAACGAAGATTTGTCTGGTAGTAATGTTAACATGTCAAA